GAATATGGCGGCTGTTGATGTAATTGTTATTGGAATTACCTTGAAGTGGAGGCAACCCTTGAGATATAACGTTGATTTCGAGAATTCTGAAGGAAAAACTGGGGTGCGCCAAAAATCCTGCAAGACGAGCGCCGCATTTTTTTTTTTTTTTTTTTTTTTTTTTAAAGANCGTGCAAGACGAGCGCCGTTTTTTTTTTTTTTTTTTTTTTTGACAAAGATCAGAAAGTTGCCGGGATTATTTTACATAGAAAAATATGACAAACATGGCTTAATTTTTGTGTGCCGAAGAATGTCTTTTTCTGAAAAATAATTGTCTCTCAGCTGAATCGTGTGGTGTTCCGATTTCTACCTTGAGAACTTTTCTTATACCCCCTCGGATTCTGACCTCGCAATAGTATGGCTACTGTGATCAGTTTTAAAAATGTACTCATGATAAAGATTGCAGAAGTACAGCAATAGACGAGTTTATTGAGCTGAAATGTCTGGTAAAAATAACTAGTGCCACTGAAAATTTGAAATTAAGCTGAGAGAAATCGTGTAGTTTTCCATTTAGGAACGTCAGTGTTCGAGAATTTCTTGGTAAACCCGCGGTTTTTTTTTCAATGTACGCTAATTGAATGAAATGCAAGTGATGATATTTATTCTTTATTTTTCTAAAGGAGCATGAAGTATAAAATTTTCGACGACGAAGTAGTGAGCAACTCGAGCAAGAACAACCTGTTCTTCGTGAACGGGGACGATGGAGAGCGGAGAATCCGGACGAAACCCTCTGCCTCTTCTGTGAGCTGCAATGGATCCGTGGGCACCTGCGAAGACTTGACTCCTCCACTCGCCGTGGTCGAGAGCAGCAGTGATTTGGGCGACGAAAAGGCGTCTTTGTTGGCTGAAAACTGATGAAAGCTGAAAGAGAAAAAGATGAAGGAATACTCGTGAAGATTCGCGTCGAATGTTTCCTGCGAAGACGTGAACGAACGCGAGGAGCCAAATGAAGGGGTTGTTGTTGTTGCACAGGTTGGCGTGAAATCAAGTATTGTGACATTTTTATTTTTCCTTTCGCGTCTCAATCGTGTTGTCAAAGGAATGAACGTGACCTTGTTTTTGAAAGCACGAGATTTCGGAGCAAGGGTGGAGGTTTATAATTGCCACCTGTTTTATGCTACCTTATTTTACGATCGTCGCGCAGAAATGCCCGTTTCATTGAAAAATTCGCGAAGACTTAATGATGCGAATTTTTTGCGGATGGCCTAGATTGTTTTTATCGAAGATTTGGTTTGCTTTTTTTTCTCCGAAAAGTGGGTGCAAGATTGGAATTTGAAATGTGATTGAAGTTTTTGAGCACGGTGGCTGGAATGAAATTTATTCTGTAGTAGGCTGATCCAGGTGTTGTGTCGCGGAAGAAAAGCAAAATATATATCACGTTTGGCATTTGAACAATACGTTTTTTTCGTTTTCTTGAATCTTGTTTCGCATGTACAGTATTTTTCACTCTATCCCTCCTCCGTCAGCTTTCTTCTTTTCAAGAAGATGGCCCACCATTTGAGAATACGGTACGAGAATGATCGGACAGTCCAGGAAGTCGAATGAAAATTCATAAACTTACGCATTCAAGGAGATTTTCGTTTTTACTCACTTAATATTCGTCTGAATCCTTCCTGAGAGAATAAAACTGTACTTCATTCCCTCAGTTTGGACACATTGAAAGGGTGACATTATGAGATACGAATGTTGCTAGCTTGCTACTCATCATGTCTCAATCATCGGATGCAGGAAAGGAACACAAAATCATGATATCCTTGCATCATTGTTCAAGAAAATTTTGAATTTTTCAATGGTCAGTTATTATTTGTGCGATTTTGCAAACAATATATGCATGCTTTCGTAATACAGTATGAAAAAGACTGAGATGATTATATGTCGGGCAAGTGGTGCTGCGTACAGGTCATAATGTGTATATTAATACAGTAGTATTCTAAGTTAATCTTGCATGGATGCTTCTTTAAAACGTACACGTGAAAACGTCGGAAGCGGACTAATTATAGCTTATTATTAAATCAGCAACCAAGCACCAAAAAGCATATATTGTACAGCGAGTATACCTATACATTTGCATGCTGTTTATCGGGAGTTCGACTAATACTTGCAGAGCTTATCTCAAAAAGTACGTTGCTATAGACATTCGGAATTAGTTTTTCATTTCATGCAGTCTCACAACGCGCGTGCATGCATATTGAAATCCGATTTCAAATGCAGTGAAATATTTCCTCTCCCGTCATGCTGTGCAATATATCTTCGCTAAACTTTTCAACACGCCGGCTGTTCGCAAGCATACATATATATAAGCCCCTTATTATTATAGTCAGTATTTCAAGACTATGAAGTGTCCAGTTACATCACTTGCCCAGATTCGGCGATAATGATTCCCGATGCATGCGTCAGAATCAGCTGTGGTCCTGAAGCACATGCCCTGAGCTCCCCGTTGAGCAACTATTCGCGGTCGCAACTCGCGTGACGCGAAAGTTTTCAACAAGGCGGAAGAAGCCAGATGATGAGTATACAAAAAGGAAAAAAAGTATTTATCCCTCAGGGTGCCGAAATTGATGCTCGAACGTTCTGCAACGGAAGCAGTCAGCTGCATTTTGGGCTATATAGTAAGTGGATGCGCGCGAGTATTTAAGCGAACGCATCGCCAGCAAAGGAATCACATTTTCCAGTTTGAGCTTCAAGCCAACAGCAACAGCAGCAGCTTCACTATTGTTCCGTGAAACACATTTTTTTCTTTCTCCGCTTCAGCACCTTCATATAACGCAAAATGAAGGTGAGGAAAGTTTGAGTGAATTTTAGTGCTTCGGATTTGGAGAAATAACAGTGATTCGTTCATCTCTTTTCCTTTCCAACACCTCTGATGCTGTGTCATCACAGACTGCGACGATTGTTGGCGTCATCTGTGTTCTGGGGTTGGTAGTAGTGACTCATGGATGGGCGGAACCAGAGCCTAACGCTTTAGCTGACGCATCTCCTCTTGCATACCCAGGTTCTTCAAGCTCAGGTGGAAAGTGAGTAACTTCAGGAATTATTTACGCCGTTCTTATTCTCTGAAATTAATTCTGTTATTTCCCACGCTGAAAATGGCAGGTTACTAGTTCATAAGCACAAACATGAACATGCCCACAAACACAAGCATGAACATGCCCATAAGCACAAGCATGGACACAAGCATGGACACAAGCATGCTCATAAGCATGGCCACAAGCATGGTCATAAGCATGGCCACAAGCACGGACACAAGCACGGACACAAGCATGGCCACAAGCATGGCCACAAGCACGGACACAAGCATGGACACAAACACAAGGGAAAGAAGTCATCATCCAGCAGCAGCAGGTATTTTTTCGAAATTTTACTTCTGGTCTTAAATTCGTGTACAATATTTTGAATAATATATTGTTTCCCTCATGATTTTCACAGCTCTGGTTAGAGAGGAATCACTGGCATTAGCCTGATGAGAAGAAGATGTTGTTGCGATGCGGTGTTATACAGAAAAGTTGCTGTTTTATATTTTGTTTTAGCGTTGAAATTCTGACGGAAATTGTCCTGTTACCATTTTTTTTTTCATTCTCCTGTTTGACTGAGTCTGCACCCATCCACTGGCTCAAACATAGCTTTCACGATGGAATTAAAATTTGTATTCTGTTGTACATTTTCTTGCGCTTTTATTTTGGAGATATTTTCTCTTCTCTTTTTTTTCCTAATTCAGTATTTTAGATCACAGCAGCAGGTACTGAAGCGTTAAAAACGCCGCTGAACCAAGCAGCAGATAGACGCAATCAAGATACATGTCAGGTAACATGTTTTCTCTCTTTGACAGCTGAAGAGCAGCCAATTTGCATATACAGAGTATATGATTCAACTTAAGAATAACATAATATACTGCGCAGAACAGCAGCATGAATACTGTACTGCTGCTGCTGAAATAAAGGATACGGTATACCTAGCATTAAATTCCCTAGACGGGCCTAATTATTGGAATAAAATATAGAATAAGAAGGGGAAATCTCTCTAAGAGTGTAACTAGTACAGTACATTGTTATGGATTCAATTCATTCACATAAGATTTACGCAGCAAGAAAATTGTTCAAAAATTGTGGAAGAGCTTCTAAACCCGCTTTGAATGTTACGACACCTACATTATTCGTCGCGAAACACAAAGTGCGTGGGTTGTCTATGGGCGAGAACTTCGCATAGTAATAAAGGGATCCCTAACTGTCCCCTTATAGTAACGAAATCCCCCTTAATTATTCCAATCTAAACCTTTACACCAAGTCTCCCACCCGGACATCAACCGGAACCAAGATCACTATCAAGATCAGAGGAGATGCGGTCGAGATCCAGTGCCGAGAGCTTCTCTTTGCTTATGACTTTTGACGAGGATTGTTCTTTTTATATTGTGACTGATTCGTACTTGTGATTGTGGTTGCTGTCATCTGCTGTGTGGACTTAGAAAATATAGTCTACGTTGTGACGCTGGCTGAGGACTTTCATATAAAACCTTACTGCATTCATCAATCAATCAGTTTCATGAATTACGTTGCTGAAATTAAGCGGCATCACCGTCAGCTGTTTAATTCATTTCACTGAACATGGAGATGACATCTGCAGATTGATTTAGAAGTTAAGAACCGCGTTACATATTCGAAAGTAACCACTGCCCGGTTGTGATATACGGAGCTTAGGGACTGAATGCAGCTTTGACCCATCGTTATTACATGATGCAACAACGCGTAACAAGTCACAGGTAGTGGACGCACGGATAACAGTTGTATAGTTATTGTGAAGTTTGCCGTTGGTGAATCGAAATGATTTGTGCGGGTGAGCATTTCGAATTCGGAAGAGTTCAGGAAAGACTCTGTCCTAATTTCGAGCGAATTTCCTATGATGCACAGAGAATACTTTTTGACTGAGAGATCCGGAGCTTAGGGACTTGAGAATTTTCTGTCGTTTTATATTTTACAGATCGTTGTGGTATTGGAAGAATTTGTTGAAATAAGTTAATTTCGTTGGTGTGATATGGTCGTGATCGCAAATTTTCCAGCGAATGTATCTTTTCCTCGGTGAGTTCTTGAATTTCTCGCTATTGCCTGAAATCTAAACGCAAGTTTTATTTTGAAAGTTCAGGAGTCACATGAAAACGAAGAATTGGAAACGCTGGAGCAAGTTTCATCTCATCTAGCTACAACAATCGCACCGGAACCTTCTTCAGGATGTGGAAAATCCCAGAAGTACTCATTCTTTTGGCCCTTATCACTTCTAGCCTATCTCTTGAAACGCCGGACAGTGAGGTTCACGTTGAAAATTTTCAAGAGCCAGAAGAAAATTTTGAAGATGCCTCCCCTGTCAGATCCGTTGTGGAGGAATTATTTATGGAAAATGCAGGGCGGAGGCTGAGGAGAAGTCAGTGCCGTGCTGTGAAACAAGAATTATCGCATCCGTCTTTCCGTCGTGTCAGAACTGAAGACAAAGATTTCACCGCTGTTCAAAACTCTCGAAAAGATTCTCCATGTTCTGATTCAGATATACTTCTCGATGACCGGCGATTGATCGCTCATCCTGATCCCCTGATAATTTCGACTTTGGATGGAGAACTGCATGCGATTTCCAGAGAAACAGGGAACATTTTGTGGACAGTGAAGAATGACCCTGTGCTCCGCATGCCACCCGTCGGAAACGGAGGAGCCCGAAACCAAGTCAACATGCTGCCAAATCCTAAAGACGGCTCTTTGTACGTCATCAATAATTCCCCTGATGCCAAAGAACCTATACGTAAACTCCAGTTCACAATCCCGGAGTTAGTTTCTGCATCCCCTACGAGAAGTTCTGATGGAATTCTTTACATGGGCAAAAAAGTTGATCGTTGGATGGCCCTGGATTCTCGCACGGGTTTCAAATACAATATCCCATCTCTCACAGACATTGTGGAAGAAGAGGTCTGTCCTTATGACCTGCAAAACCCTGTTCTTATCGGTCGTTCAGAATATACTATTTCAATGATGGACAGTAAACTCCGCAATGCAAGGTCCTGGAACCTGACTTTTTTCGACTACGCCGCCATGGACTTACCCGACGAAGACGACTATGACTTGGTCCATTTTACGTCAAGTTCTGGTGGAAAAATTCTGAGCATGCATCGCTCAACCGGGCGCGTTATGCACGAACGAGCCGTTGGTGACTTGCCGATTGTTGCAGTTTATTCTTTGCGTAGTGATGGGATGTTTCGTGTGCCATTCACAACCGTTGCTCCAGAAACTCTTGATGCACTCGCCATGAACCCTGCTGGAGATTTTGTGGTTCAGCATCGTGAATTGTTTCCAACTTTGTACGTGGGTGAATGGGCTCAAGGATTATACGCAGTTCCCTCTATGGTTGACGAGTCAATTGCGACCATTCGTTCTCTTCCTGGACCATCCTTGCCACCGTTATTGGAAGGCCCTCAGAAATCTGAGGAGGCTGGAGCTACCAAGCAGCGCCAGAAGAATAATTCAGAAGACGATCCTGCTGAGAAGCACCTAGTTTTGAAAGCAGAACCTTTTGTCGTGTTGGGATACTACGATATTAAGGAGCCTTCGAGAAGCACGGTGAAGAATAAAAATCGATTACCTATTCAGCCATCTGAAATGAAGCTTGACCCCGGGAATGTGAGAAATACCACGAAGTCGACTCCGCAAGAAGTCAATGTGCAGCCCGAAATTGTTGCGGAGTCTCCCAGCAGTTGGGGATTGTGGATAATGCTTCCCACAGTGGTATCTACGTGTGTAATTGTAATAGTTCTTGCGACGCGTTGGAGCGTGAATGAGAGTTCAAAGTCTCGTTCAAGTGTGTATGTAGGAAACGTGGATCCAACTTCGATTACAGCTTACGAAGAACAGGATGAGTTCGGTGTGCGTATCGGGAAAATATTTTTCGATCAGAAACTCATCATCGGACGTGGTTGTGAGGGGACATGTGTCTTCAAAGGACGCTTCGATAATCGTGATGTGGCAGTGAAGAGGCTTCTTCCGGAAAGTTTCACGCTGGCGGATCGTGAAGTGAATCTTCTGAGAGAATCAGATCAGCATCCAAATGTTGTGCGATATTTTTGTACTGAGCAAGGCCCTCAGTTTCGGTACATTGCTCTTGAACTCTGTTCTGCCACATTGCATGATTACGTAGCGAATGGAACTCACAAAGAGGATATTGGGGTCTTCGAGATTCTGAGACAAGCCACGTCTGGGTTAAAACATTTGCATGATCTCAATATCGTGCACCGTGATGTGAAACCTCAAAATGTGCTAATATCTATGCCATCATCTGGGCAGCCGAGAATTCGTGCTATTCTGTCAGACTTCGGACTTAGCAAGAAGTTGAAGCTTGGGAAAATGTCTTGCTCTCAGAATTCCGGCGTTGCCGGAACAGAAGGTTGGATTGCGCCGGAAATTTTGAAAGGTGAAGGGCGGACTACAAGGTCTGTGGATGTGTTTTCTCTCGGCTGTGTCTATTATTATGTGCTGAGTGATGGTCAGCACCCGTTTGGTGATCCCTTCCGTCGTCAGGGCAATATCATTGCCGGTGAAGCTTGCCTGGATGTCACATTTTTCCCTGACGATGATGATGACCTATGGAAACATCTCATACGTGCTATGATTCAGACTGATGGATCAGATCGACCGACGTAAGTATGCATTATGTTGAATTCGATGTTCTGTTTTTATTTATTTTTATTGCAGAAATATTTTTCATTCCTACACTGTCGATCATTATTCAGGTAAATTGAAGGATTTGATGAATTAGGCTGGCTTTTTTGGCGTTACGATATGATGTATTGTCTTGTGTATGATGAGTGTCTCGATGATACTGGGCGTAATTTCTCAAAAATAGGCGGAAGCTTGAAGTTTCATGTCGGAAATCATTTTTGTGAGACAGGTTTGCCAATATTTGCGAGCTATCGGTTTTTACTCATGGTGACGGTGCAATTTTAGTTTCTCTTCGGAAGGTTTCGAGTAGAGATCGAATCGCTGTGGATTGCGAAAAATCAAAGTACTGTAGCAGTTCTTCCTACAAGGGAAATAAAATACAGTAATTTAAAAGAGGGAAAGATTAGGATATGATCCAAATTCCGTTCCGTTCCCTGTCCTATGCACGTTGACAAAAATTATTTCATGTATTCGTCAATGAAAATGAAACAGAACACATATTTTTTGTGTGAATGCTCTTCTGATGACGAAGCTTCCATTCAGAAATTGCTAAATTCCTGTTGGTTTTGACAAAATCGTAAAAAAAACCTTTCTTCAGTCGAGGGCTGTTCGCTTTTTTTTTCTCAAGTGGCCTACATTGGAATCAATAACCCCCGAGCGGAAGTTCATGGTCGAATATCTTAGTCGAGTTGTATGTACTGCCTTGACCTGATAATTAAATTCAGTGACTTTATTAGTACAGTATTAGATTGTAATTTCCTTTGAATTTACTGAATCGCAACCTTGTTACGTTACTGTAGCACATTTTCAAGTTGGTGGATGACCTTTCAAGTTCCCGTTTTTTGTTTCTAGCCTGGTGGAAGTCCTTCATCATCCTGCATTCTGGACATCGACCGAAATCCTCCATTTCTTCCAAGATGTGAGCGACAGGGTTGAGAAAGACACGGAAAATTCTCCCATTGTGAGAGCTTTGGAGTTTAGAGCCTGGCCTGTGATCCGCAACGATTGGCTTGGTGTTCTCGAGCCCGAAATCGCCGAGGATTTGCGAAAATTTCGATCGTATCGTGGGAATTATATCCGAGACCTACTTCGAGCTTTGCGGAATAAAAAGCATCATTACCGAGAACTGACGTCGGAGGCACAAGAGATCCTCGGCAACATTCCTGACGAGTTTGCTCGCTATTGGACCAAAAAATTCCCTAACCTGGTTTTGCATGTGTGGGAGCGAGTGTCTAGACTGCGACACGAGTCTGTTTTCAGTCGCTATTACCACTCTTCATTCTCTTTCCGGGATCCACAAGTGCCGGAATTTGATGACGAAGTCGTGACGCAAGAAGCTGAAGAAGATGAAGGACTTCTGCTGTGGCGCAGAAGTCCGCAAAAAAGTGTGAATGTTAGAGGAAAGAATAAGATTAAAAATGCCAAGAAGCGTCAGAGTGGAAAGTCTAGATCAGATCGCGAAAATTGGCGAGAGCGGAGTGTTGAACGTGACTGCGCTGTTGATGCGTGAAAATCTAAGGTTTGTTTTTTCATTATTTGTAATTTGTGTATCGATGGCATTGTGTCCGGTCTCCTCCGTCACGTTGGTTCTCAAAATGAGCAGTGAATGGTTTGTTTTACGAAACTCAACTTTTTTGACTAAGGATCGCCCCAGTCGACATCGATTTTTTCCTGTTTTCATATGCTCTCTCGGTTTTGACTGAACAGTTGAGCGAGTTCCAAAAGCGCGCTGGACCAAAATAGCGTGATTCGAAAAACAGCAAACCTATGATGTACAACTTAAAGGTACTTCGTAGAAAATTTTCAGGGTGTCAGAGTGCATACAAGTGATGGTTCAAAACACTTCCAGTGTGAGGTAGTGAATTAAATGTTCGTGCTATTTATCTTCGGGTTAATATTTTTACTGTACAGTATTTTAGTGAAAAGCTTTTTTTTTTTAGCTCGTTCCAGCCCCGTTATTCCATTCATTTTTTTTGTGGACACGTGCCGTTTTGGTATTTGCTCAACCGTCCCCCACAATTCTCATCAGCTTAATCAAGAATTTTCTTAATTTTTCACGTGCAAATTTTCGTGTGAACTCGATTTTTTTCTCAGGCATCATGCTGAAAAATTAATTTGAGGATGGAATTCGAGAGTATGTTTATTGCCTGTTTCGCGCTAAATATCGATTGACAGAACATTAACCAAGGTTGGCATTCTTTTTTAATTGCGTTTCACTTCCGTTCGTGTTCATTCCATCGGTAAACCAGGCAGTTTGTTCATCCTCGGATGATTGAAGTGACTCATCCGTGAAAATTCGCATGCGGTGAATGGGCATCTTACTTTCAATTGAGTGATGGAATGACAATTTTCCCTCTTACAGTGCTTTATTTTTTGTTCGAAAATATTCGGGAACTTTTGTGCTAGCTGGAAAAAAATATGTTTCTGTCGAAATTGCGTTGGAAGAAGTTCCGGAAAGAATTTCGTGGAACTTATACGATGCCAAGAGGGAGGGCATCGCAGTTTTACTGTACCATTTTGTCTTTTGCTTGTTTTGTGGTCATCGCGTACACCAACCAGTCCTACAGTTTTCGTATCCTTTTGAATTTTGAAGTGATGTTTGAGGATTTCACTGTGTGGAGAAAAAAAACCGTTGTGATTCCGACGTCAGTCTTGAATCATTTGTGGAAGATTATGTTCACACACAAAAAAAACCGCGTTCAGCCGTCTTTTTTTTTTTTTTTTTTTTTTTTTTATTTTTTTTTTTTTTTTTTTTTGTTTTTTTTTTTTACAAAAAAAAACCGGCGTTCAGCCTTTTTTTTTTTTTTTTTTTTTTGCAGAATTTTTTTCTTGGTATGTGATGGTTGTCCAGGTCGCAGTTTTGACCTCGTCTGGCGGCATACCTGTCTTGACGTGCAGCAGTGATGGAAGCTCCGTGAGTTATTCAACTTTTGAATCATGTATTGTATTTGAGTCTATACTCTAAGAATTGAATTGAGGTGTTTCCACGTTGCCTTTTAACGTCATTCGGTATATTTCTCTGGAAAATGGGTTGGGGTTGAATTATTGTTTGTCTTCCGTAACGGAAATTTCGAGAGGCCTTTGGGCTACAATTCTGGAGACCAGGGAAGGAGTAAAATCAAAAAAATGTAATTCAATGCTGTTCAGCAGGAAATGAGTGAATAATTGAGCGTATGAACTCTTGTCCCCGGGTTCAGCATCCTGTCAACTTATTTTTATAGTTGTTTTGGCCTTGAAGATTCTGTTATTAATTTTCCTCTCAACAAAAATGATTGTCTCCTCAACTCAAAATTTTCCTGAGTCAAATTTTTTTTGGGTCCTTTAGAAGTTGACTTGATAAAGTTGCGCTGTATACAAATTTTTAAGTGATGTGTGACGTCATTGAAGAGGGGCTCTTTTTTCAAGCATTTTTAGAAGTTCCAACTTTTTTGTTGTCCATGACCGAGTGCTCATTTGCGTAATGTTATGCATGAAGTTGTTAAAATATATTTGGGCAAAGGTTTTCTTCTTTCTCGAAGTAAATAATCAAGGAAAGTTATAAAATATGGAACATTCCATTGAACCAATTTTTGAGCGGTGGATGAAATTTTCTTTAGTAGGTTTTCGCATGAGTGTCCAAAGTTTGTGTTTTTTTTCATGACATTAATGAGAGTTCAGCTGCCATTTATTGTGAATTATACATCTTCACATTTCAGATTCCGTTCCCTATTCTTGGTTCCCTCAATGGAATTTGGCTGTTCTGCAAATCCAGCGGTGGTTCATTGAAATCGACAGAAAATGAATATGGATCCGTTACTTGGAAGGAATTCGTCGAAAAGTAACACTTCACTCCGCTTTTTTTCCGTCTCCTGCCTATGGACCAATCTCCTTTTTTTTCAGTATATTGGTGATATGCATACACAATAACAAACCTCCGAACAATGCGTATTTGCCACCAGTTTTGGTGGATAATATAATTGAGCTGTGCTATGGTGCCATGTTGATGTCAGTGGGGACTGAAGGGCTGAAGAATCCGAACGCGGAATCTCTTCGAAAAGATTTGCAGGTGAGTGATTAACTCACGCAAATCGCTATTTATGTTGCACACTCGCCAACTTCGACAGTTCTTTCGGAAATTTTACAAGTACTGCCACATGTTTCTACGGTCACTGCAAGCCATTTTTCTAGGGAAAAACTTTTTTCTTCGTATTATTCTGCGACTTCTAGGATTTATAAATTTTTTGTTATCCCCTCGAACTACTGTTTAATTAAGGGATACAGATTATTAGCAGGAAAATTAATATTACAGTAGTATTACTGTTCCTGCGTTTTGATCGACCGTTTTTAAGAAATGAATCTGATTTTTTTTTTAAATAGCTTCAACAGGCAATATTCTCCGTATAGACTATAGTCATTAAAATCAGTGATCTGTTGGTGTAAATTTAAAAAATTGAATACCGTATATCCCAAAAACATCTTGACGTTTTATTCGGTTCCGCCATTTCAAAGATTGAGGTAATTTTCGTCTAAAAATGTCCTCTCTCCTGACGATTCAACAATGATTTCACTTTTGAGAATAAGGAAATGTCAGAAGATGCCAGAAATGGCAAAAAAGGAAGATTACAAAACAAGTTGATTTAACTTTTTTGGACGAAGAAGCAATTTTTTGTCCTTGAATTAAATCTTGCTCCTTGAAAATTTTTATGTTCTGCGAGTATTATCCCATCAGACCTTATTTTTTCTATTGCCGTGTAATTTTGATGTTGAATCCAAGTATTGAGAAAGAAAATACTGTAATCTAATGACTATCAAACCACTTGAATATGAATACATTTTTCCGTAACTGTTGCGGCCCGAAGTTTTGGATGTTAGAAAAAAGGAATTCGTGACGACAGAAACGGAGTAGTAATTTATTTATTTTTTTGTTTTACGATTGATTGCCTCTCTTGCCACGTGTCATGTGGAATGACGAAAATGTGTTGAAATTATGAACTGCTTGTTGTAGCTGATAAGTACTTAATACAGTACTTTTATTTTCAGAGCAGCGTCCCCTTGATCCGTCAGATCCTTCTGCGCTTTGGACCGAAAAAACAACGGTTATTCGCCGGCCTCACGAGTCTTTCCGATGTTATTATTTGCGAGGAAGCTTTCAAACTGGAGGAAATCGTCGAGAATTTCTGCAGTCGCAATGAAACTCCGTACGGATTGTTGACGATTGGCAAGAAAGTCGCAGCTGCAACTTCATCTTGGTGGCACGCTTTGACACATGCAGAAAAAGCCCTCTTTCTCCTTTTCGCTGCGTTACAAGAGGAAAACGGTGTCGCCCGGGATTGTCCCGTTTATTTGCCTGTCAAAAGTCCCACGGTAAGTGCTGTACCGGAAATATTTTCAGCTGCAAATCTTGTTCTATTACTTGATCTTTGCTTTGAAAAATTAAAATCCGGGGTAAAAATCAATGTGTCGCAGTACTTTCGTTGTGAATCCTCTTGATACGCGAAGCTTTTCTTGTGAATTTCGAAAGACGGATTTCGATTGTCATTGAAGACCCTTTGCGACTCAGTTTGATTATTTTTGTTCACATCGTCCTGGAGTTGATGCGAAAATTTCTTGACGTCGGTGATGGGAAATAAAAAAAAAAAAAAAAACGTGTAACAACCCTCGACCGTGCTGAAGGGTTCACTCGGTTAATTCGTATGATTGAAGTTTATGCTTCTTAATTACTGCGTAATTTAAAAAAAATTGTAAACGAATATTTATTTGCGATGGACCTTAAAATGGCACATCCTCTGGGAATTGTAATAAGTAATACAGCGTATACGAGTACAGCGATCTTGCTTACAACGACTTTCTCTGTCCATCGTATTGTTTTTCTCCTAGGGTTCACTTCCCGTATTATAGGGGTCCTCTACAACGAAATTCTCCAAAGCGAATTTCTCTGGCCCCTTGAATTTCGCTGGAGAGATAGCCCACCTGAACATTAAATGCATTTATTTATTTTTTACTTCGGTAGTCGAGGCGAAAATTGAAAAAGATCAATAATTTCGGAAAAAGTTGAGGTGGTCATGGACGGAGGTCATGTTAGTTTCACGAATTTGAAATAGGCACCTTATTGTCACCAAAGACGGAAGACATTTTCGCGGTTTCAAATCCAGTCGTTTAGCATTTTATACGATTTTAGTTCGTTGGTGCCCGACTGCCCGAGGACAAAGAAAAAAAAAATCAAAGATTAACAAATTACTTGAAAAAAATATTTCCTAGCCTCGGAACCTAATGGACTTCAAATTTGTCCAAATCTGAACACTTTAAATTGTTTTCTTGAAGGTTCCTTATAGATTCGTGTCCATGACGCTTTTGGAATCGATTCAAGAGGATGAACGAGTGAGCTTATGTTTGCTTTGTGGATCGAAGCCACCGCTGAGTGAAGTGATGCGACAAGTGCCTGTCGACTTCGGTCCTGTTGCCGACTTGCTGAAAACCGTCGCCTCGAATGTATCGACAGGAAAATCCGCTCTGCCGCGGGGCTTGTCATTGCATAAAAGTGTGTTCGGGTGAGCTGAATGTTCTCGGTCTTCTTAAACTGCTTTACAATACTGTTGCAATACATTTTGTGTTGAGTACGGTACAGTATAATGTTGAACACAAGTACTTACGGTATTTTTAGTTTGCCTCAGAAGAGGAAATCTAGAAAGAGAATGTGTCAGACGAGCGAGTGAACCAATGATTGAGCATTTGCTGAAATAAATAACACAGTTGGACTATATACAACTATATTCTCTGTATAATTAATTTCTTTTTCGGACCTGTAGGGTCCTCTCTTCCTGTTGTTGAATTCTCCGAAACCATTTTTTAGTCCCTTGAATTTCGTCGTAGAGAGAGCCTATTTGTAGCTTCTCTGATTATTTGCTACAGTTCGTGCAAAAAATCGCACAGCTCCCGTATTTACTCTAGCACCACGCGCCTTCTAGTCAGACGCGCACCAGGGTTTTTCAGTGTAAAATTTTGATAAAATTGACTTCAGAACTGCAATATGTGAAAATAAGAACACAAAAAATTTCTGAGATTGGACATGTATAACAATTAAATTATAAAAATGTATTTAAAACCCTGAAAGAAAACTCAAATTTAGGACATGAGCAGTTGAAGATATTTTTGTTCTTCTGGCACTCAAGTCCAGACCCCCTGAGGCACCTCCACCTGTTGGCATCAAAGACAGAGTTAAAACCATCCTTAAGAGCAGCTGCGCCACCAAGGGACTTCGCAGGAAGTCATTAAAAACAGAAACTCTGAAAAATCAGAACAAAGTTACCGTATTTACTCGAGTACCACGCGCTCTCAAGTAAGGCGCGCACAGGCTTTTTTCAGTTGGATATTTGGCTAAAATCGTATCCCCGAGTATGACTTGCACCCCAATTTTTAGTAAATCTAAAACCACAAAAGTTCGAAAATGGAAACAAAAAGATTGACTTCAGACGTGAATTTAATAAAAATCGGACCAATTTTCAACTTTTTCAGTACAGAAGAGTTTTCTTGTCACTTTTTTTTTAATTTCTCCATTATGATTAAGTATAATGCACATAGAACTTTCTAAAACTTCTTCAAAAATTTGTACCCACTTATGACGCGCACCCCTTTTTTTCTTAAAGGTGCGCGTGGTACTTGAGTAAATACGGTAAGTGGTTGCCCACAGGGAATTTCAATTTGCAGTTGTACTTTTCAACCCAAAAATAGAATGTCTATCATTGAAAATTGTCCATGAGGAAGGCTTAAACCTTCCTCCCTAGGCATCCCAGTTGTTCTATGTGCATTTGTACAAGATTTATTTTTTGCGCATTGGCAACTTCTGATGGGTTTTTTAGGGTTATTTCTGCCCCATTTGTGTGAGTGTTTTGCAGTTATTCAAGAAGCATTCAAGTTTCCTGGGAAGGGAAATTGCAATTTATAAATTTTGGTGTTTGAAAGGATAGAGAGCAGAACAAGATCAGAATTCAAGTAGCAAGGCAGCAAGTCTGTGTACTACAAGAATAAAAACTTTGTACAAATTCAAATTTGACTTTGAAAATTTTTACTTTGTATTGGACAGTGTTACAGTCCAACACTTGAACACTCCAGAGGAAGATCTGGTAAAACGTTGTGTGAGAAAGCAGGAGCAGAAGGAATTTTCCTACAGTTCATTTGCAAACTGGAAGCATCAGAAATGTTTTACAGGCATGAATTGATCCTGAATTCAACTAATTTTCAATTACAGTGAGACCCCCACATGTGGACGCCTTGACCTGCGGACAATTTGACTTAGGGACACTTATTTTCCCAGAAAAAATTAATTGAAATGGCCCGACATGAGGACACTAACTCGACATAGGGACATTTTGTGATGAAATTGCAAATACATTTTCAGCCTAATTACAAGAAACAGATATTTCCAACCCTGAAATTGATATAAGAAAAGTTCTTGGGCATTTCTCTCATCAAATTACCATCCATTTAGCTAATTAAAAAATTACCTCCAGCATAGAAGGACTTCTACTTTTTTTCACTTGATGAATGTTATTTTTGTAGGTGCCAAAATTTCAGTGTACAGTACAGAGATACACTATTCTAGTGGCAAAAAAATTTTTTCAGGGAATTCTGAAGAATATTTCTTCCAGAAAACACCAATTAAAAATTATTTAATGTAAGTCAATGGGAAAACAAGACTTGGCTTAGGGACATTTCGACTTGCGGACACTCTTGATGCACCAATTACTTCTGCATCTTGGGGTCTCACTGTATTTCCATTGCAAGAAGTTTTTCATGTTGAAATCTATCCAAAATCCCCATTGGAATCAAATATGAATCCATACCAAAACTTCTAAAACTAAAAAAATGTATATCTGCTCGTGACAAGCACCCCTTTTTCCATTCAATTTTGATAAAGAAGGTGCGCGTGGTACTTTGATACATGTGGTACTCATTTCATTTGTGTAGCTGTTTTATTGCATGTTTGCTCGTACGTTAAATTATTTCTTGTTGCCCCTGCTAACTCTTATTGTGTATATGCGTACTGCTATTTTGCCACTGTAGCATCCATTGCGTGGTATTTTACTGTGTGATCGTATTTTTAGTTTTCTGGCCCTGAACTTTGCGGACGGGAAAGTCTTCAGTTATCAGAAGAAAGCGCCGGTCTCGGACAAGTTGGTCCCAAACTCCGGTGGAGACGTTCCGCAAAAAGTCGATCCAGATTTGATAAATCTAAACGCCCTGACTGCGGCGTTTTGTGAAACCAGGGAGATGTTCACATATCATCAAGTAGGCTTGGAATCTCGGATACCAGGTAATGATTCCTCCCAATGAATAATGATGAAAGGACTGGAACATGTTGATTTTGTTTTCAGGAACCGGAGAAAGTTTTGATTCGTGCATGGCGGAAATGGGTTGCTCGCAAATGTACCAAAATTATGAAACTCACGCCTGCTATGGGATTGAGCGATGGCCTTATCAAGTGTTTGTGCTTTTTGCCTCTGGGGTTCCTCGAATCGCTTTGCAGTTGAGTTTTTTTTGTTTTTTTCAACATTATCTTGATGTGTAGTCCACTAACGGAATCTGCTTTCTCAGGTCAATTACCAAGGATATCCTCGACGGTGTGACGACGTCGAAAAATCCGGGGAGCGTATGAAGTGTGATTTTGTATCCGTGAATTTGAAATGCAGTACAATTACTTTTGGATGAGGAGTGGTGATCCGGTTTTTGCGTGTCTGAGCGTAGTTTCCAATCAAAGGCTTCACCAAATGAAAGTTGCGAAGGTCATCGTGAGTAGAAGAGGCAAATTTGACAACTGGTAACAAGCTTTGAATTGTTCCAGAAATCGAGACACACGCCTCTTGAAATTGAGACGAAAAATCCAGATTGTTTTTCATTTCGCGTGACAGAATTCTTTTGAAGAAATATTGATGAGCGGATTTTATGAGAGGAATAGTATTGAATTTCCCGCCATTGGGCTTCCTTTTTGAGAAAAAAATCAATTTTTGGTCTTCTGGAAACGATGGTTGGCTCATCTCCTGTAATTTAATATACTTCATTTTCGTTTTAGTTGAATGGGAAAGAATGCGAAAGGGAAATTACGTCACCAGTGTTTTGATTTGAAACCGGAACGTCAGTAATGTTTGGCTTGCGAAGATCTGAAATTTTTTTTTTTCATTACGTAGCCTGTATTTCCATTTCTTCATGATCTCCTGATACTTGCTTTGAACGTAACTTTTTTTTATTACAATACAGTACTTGATTCAAAGATGGAAATGATTTTTCGTTTTGAGTAATGTTGTTGATGAAATTAGTGCTTCTCAACAAAAATGTACCCATTTGGATTTTTTCCAGCTTTCCATATTATTTGCGTTCCATATTTTTCGCAGTATCAATTTAAACAAAGTTATATTACAATATATCCATACAACTGATTCTTTCTTATTTTGCCGACAATAAATTCAGCTATCATTCAGTACATTGGAAGCCCTCGAACGAGTCTGGGTTTTCGCCAGTAAGCCATCTTTCTCCATTTCAAGGGAACCTATTCTGGACAGCATTTAGCGGGAACAGGATCGTGAGCCATTCTGAATTTCAAGCGAGTTCGGAATGGGATGAGGAATGCGTGAAAAGGAAACCACTTTGTGTGACAATCCCTTGTGATTTTCATCGTCAGACCTTGATAAAGTTTTCTCTTCAGCGATTTCCTCTGTCTCTGGAACCTCCTTTAATTTTGATTACGTCCGTGAAAGAATGATCTTTGCGTAGAATGCGCTTCATTCATTCTGTCACAATTATCAGCATCAAGGGTGCTGACGTATTGATCGCGTGTTTGCTGCTGACGAGCATCAAATCAGAAGCGCTTGAATCAAGAAACTCGCCGCTTTGGTCTCCTCATCATGTCCATCATCATCAGCACCAGACTAAGCAGACAACAGTGGAGCTGGTCGGTGCCGACCCGCTGGTGGATCCGTCTTCCAACAGACAATTGCTTCGTCGGTGTTTGCCCTGGGTTGTGTTCTCCGACAGCCTGGTCACGGCGGTCATTTTGTTGGCTACGTTGATGGCGATCCGGTTGCGCGGCCCTCGGGATGACCTGGTGTCTTTCGCGTTTGACCTCGTGCATCCGGGACGCAGTTTGCGGTGGTTTCGGCGCCGCAGCTTCGTGAGGCAGGCGAGGCGCCGGCTCATGCAGGCTTATCAGCTGTTTTGGTTCCATCAACGACCCGCGAGAATTGTCGAGATGCTGTGATTATGCGTCATGGTCTGACATTTCGACTGAAGAATGTGTACGACAGTGCTGTGTGATATAGTTTCTTTTTATATATGTTGCCGCGCCTCGTCGACGTGAATCCACGATTTTGTTATGCCTTTAGCCGTTCAATTTTTTTCTGGCCATGTCCCTGATATTATACATGACCTCTTCTGGCGAATTTTAATTGGGTTGATCCCTGGTTATTGGTGTTGTATATGTTCGTGTATATATACTCGGAATCCCCTTACTGACGGGTTTTGCTACAATTTGTGATTTTTACAATTTATCTCTTGGAGGGAGGGCCATCTCTAGGTGAGCTTATGATGCTGCTGGTTGATAAATTTACTTAATGAAGCACCATGGTGAGCAGGAGGAAGGGCACCTAATTTTATCTTTCATTTTTCGAAGATGGATGTCTTCCGTTATTTATGCTTTTGGCACCAAAGACTACCAGGATGCAGCAAGGCATGCACGCTTTGGAATGCGTGAAGATTTCAAGAACAGCTGCTATTGGGGCTATACAATACAATTTGGAGATATAAGCTGCATATGCCTAAATTGAGTTTAGAAACAAATAAAGTAACGGAGAAACTAAAATATATGAATCCATGCTGTTTCTCGACATGTAACCTCTGAGTTGGAGGTTTCAGGTTATGGAATCAGATGAATTTTTTGCTGCTGGATATAAAGAATTTCAGGAAACCAAGATTTGTGATCTTATTTTAAATGTTAATTATAATAAACTGCGGATTGAGTTGTCAGGATGTGGAACTTGAAGGTAAGTGTTGATCTGCTCAAGACTAAAAATTATTTTTGAACAGCATCAAGGCGAATTTTCCTTGTACAGAATTTCTTTTTTCTCTGGTAACCAGAATAATATGTACCCCATCCATAGAAACTTGAGTTATATAAATAAATAAATATATATATGATGGAGACTTTAGAGAGGGGGATTTTGAGTTAGGGAGGTTTGTCATGCTGATGGATATTAATTGCTCTTGAGGGAATTCATCAGGAAGGGTCCAAAACGAAATGTAAAATATTTCGGTTTTAAACTTCATTGTACATGCAGTGGGCCCTCAACAAATGTATCTGCTTAATGAATTTGTTTTTGCATAGAAAGATTCCAGCACCTGCATTACATGGAAGGTTGAGTTATCTCAGTCCAACTTTTGTATACAAATCTGCTGCAATTTTCACACTCTCAGGATCGAGTAAAAGGTATGCCATCCTGAAAATTTTCAATTACAATTTTCCAAGAGCATCATGTAAGTGGGAAGTATGAGGCTTCCCAATTTCATAATCATGCATTATTGTATTTTGATTGAGACATTATATATAGTAGATGATGTCATATACACAAGACTACAAGAGGGTATGGAGCAGAAACGTAAGAAACTATGCTGCAGATGGGTAAGTTTGGAACTTCAGGTCTTCGTTTCATCTACGATACAGAACAGGAAGTATATGCTGCATTACATCACTTATTAATCAATAATCTACCTATAAATTAAAAATTTTTCTACTGCAGTCCTATAATAGACATGCCCCCAAATTGAACTGTATTATCATTCCTGTATATACAGCTTCTGTGAACTTGTTATTCTCATTCGTCACTTATTTATATGCATAGGGGCCTAATGCACTTCTTATTTGAGGCCAAGTTCATACAATTTGTGTACATATGAGCGGTGACGTGAAGGTGTTCTTGAATAAAATACAGTGCTTTTGAATGTATTATGTGTAAAATGCTCGTACGCTGTATACAGTACAGTAATTTCAGAGAGACTGATCCGTAATTCCATCCCATCCGGTAGATGTCATTAGAATGAAGCGTAAATATCAGTTCTTTGTAAATCCCGTATAGATGTCTGGAGTGGTGGAATCATGGAGGCGCCCTGAGAGACGAAGCGTCTGTCGCTCCCACGTCGAGATAACGAGTGCGGTGCGTTTTTCTAGCGATTCTCACGCATGTGGAAAATGCCGTAGTCTAGTGTTACTGTACTCAGTATTCAACGTCTAATTTCATCTGAAATACTTTATTTTTTGTCATTTTAAAAGCGCTTCCGCGCTTATGCCCCAATTTATCTTAGATTCACCGGTACATGATGATTCGGAATCTGGAAATCGTCGCGACTGTGTTATTACTTATTCTGAATTTTCGTTGCGCCTTCTCATATTTTATTTCGGTTGACGCTCAAGATGAAGAATGCTTCTTTGACAAAGTTACAACCGGTACCAAAATGGGTAAGTTTAAACCGTGGACGCTTTCCTGTTTGTTTCTTTTACTTGCGGAATTTTCTTCCAGGGCTCATGTTCGAGGTTGCGGAAGGAGGTTTTCTAGATATTGACGTTAAAATTATTGGCCCCGATGAGAAGGAAATTTATCGAGGTGAACGGGAAAGCAATGGGAAGTATACTTTTGCCGCTCATATGGACGGAGTGTATAAGTATTGCTTTTCGAACAAGATGTCAACAATGACCCCAAAAGTTGTTATGTTTTCTATGGACATCGGGGATGCACCGAAAGAAGGAACTGGAGGGGAAACTGATGGTATGTTCATATTTATTAGTGGTGTTATTTTTTCCTTCAATGGATTTCGCATTTATTCTCATCCGTAGAGCATCATAATAAATTAGAAGATATGATCAAGGAATTGTCAACTGCCCTCACTGGTGTGAAGCACGAACAGGATTACATGGAAGTTAGGGAGCGCATTCACCGTGCGATCAACGACAATACCAATTCGCGTGTGGTGCTTTGGTCGTTCTTTGAAGCCCTAGTGCTCATCGCGATGAGTTTAGGGCAAGTATATTACTTGAAGCGTTTTTTCGAGGTCCGTCGAGTCGTGTGAAAGGGTATCTCGTTATTTGTTGTGATTTTTTCATTCTTCTCTGATCATTGGAACAACTCCTTCAAATTTCTGTATCAGCGTCTCCCTTTGTTGCACTCTGTCCATCAGCTTGTTATTTGCGTTTTTGGAGAAATGTGACCATCATACATTTTGGGGGAAGGATATACGTTGTGAATTGTGCTACTTTATCTTGATTTTGTTTTCCAATTTTTTCAGCTCTCACTTTTTTTTTTTTTCAGGGAAACGTTATTAGATAATTTTTATTGTGCGAGCGTGTTTTTTGGACTGACATGGATGAACTGCAAGTCGAACCCGACAGTACAAGTGATGAAGTAACTTCTTCAAATGCTAAAACCCTCGAAAATGCTGAGAATGTGAGGAAGTTTTGATTCTTTTTCTCTGCGTCTTTTATTTTAGTCTGTGTTTTCCACAGGAAATCCAAGCCTGCGCGGAAAAGGTGGAAATCATGGTTGAAGAGAAAGAGTCCGAAACTGAGCCCCGAAGCAGTGCTCGAAAGAAGCGGTCAAACCGGCGAAAGGAAGATCAATTCATCTCCCAGACCCTGAAAAGTGTATCCCATGTCAAAGATCCTGAGGAGAAAATTAAGGCAATTATCCGAGTTGCGTACCAGATGTCTGAAGGGATGACGGAAGTCAAGGTACCAATGCTTTCAATTATCTCCACAGAATGAAGTCCTGAATCCCTCTTACTTTCATTTAGATCTCCATATCAACTCTAGGAAAGTAGTGTCAGGTGTACCTATGACATAAAAATAATAAATTGCTTAAACAACGGCCGTTTTGTGGCGCGTTTCAGAATGAAACTTGCAGTATTAAAAAAAAAACGTCTCGCACATGAAGCAATCACACGCATCGCGGCATACCGAAGTTCATATCTCATTCGATATTTGACTAAAGAAATCGAGCTAGTTTTACTTTGCAGCTTAAGATGTTTCCTAACTTTTTTGTTGTTGCATTAAATCTGATCCGAGAAACAGATCTTCAGCTATACGCGCTTCTGTCAAACTAACTTTTTCTTCAGTGATGTAAATCTCAGATTTACTGGTCAAGATTTCTATCTCAGTGGTACACAAGCTTGTGGTGCAAAAGTGACTTCAATAAGATAGTTGAGCGCTTCATGAATGAATTTAATATTACAACAATATGATATGGCAGTTTAGGGAGGAGTTACACTAATGTGAACTTAGCTGCGATTTTCAGAAGCAAAAGTATCCGAGTATTATTTATTTTTCGAATAACCTTGCAGTGTTCAAGTCTGATTTTATTTTGCATGGCGTGGGTGTTGCTGAAATGTTGTTCTCCGTTTGGTTGTTTCCTATAACAAATATCTAGGTGGGTTTGATGCTGTACTTTCAAGCTCTTTTGCCAATTTGAAGTAGTTCAGTTAGACATCTGGTGGTTCAGAAGTACTGTATTAGTTTACCGGAGAACATTAAAACGGACGTGAATTCGAAATTTCAGAATGAATTGAAAGCTGCCCAAAAGAGGTGTACTCAAGCTGTGAACGAAAGTGATCAGTTGAGAATGGAATCAACGAAAAGTACCCTTGCGCGACAGCGTATAGAAGAGCTTTGTCGTCAGTTGCAGCGCCACAACAAAGCCATGAAAGACGAAATGTCGAAATTTCAACGGGAGGATGAAGAGCGACGGAAGGAAGTGACTCAGGGATTTCAAAACAAAATAACCGAGATCAATTCTTTAATTCAAGACCACAATGACAAAAACGGAGTTTTAAAGAAGCAAAATCTTGAGATTCGTGAACGTTTGGACGAAATGATAGAACGGTATGTGAGGCGTGAACAAGAAGTGAATGACATGATGAGATCTGCCGAGCTTCAGACGTCATTGGCTGAAGCCAAAATTGCCAAAGCTGAAAAGGATTTCACAATCAGCCGTGAATTATTTTTAAAGGAGAAAGATACTTGGACCAAGGTGAGAGAGCTTTTGACCGTGATCATAGTTATCGAGTTAACTGAGATTTTGAAAGTAATTCTGGTTTTCTGTTCATAGCTGGAGGAACACTATAAAGCGCAAATTGCTTTGCACGAGTTCAATGAGAAACAGCTGAAAACGGAGGTGGAAACGTACTCGAGCAAGTACAAGGAGTTCCATGATGCTTTTGAAACTTTTCAGAAAAACATGACCAAAGTAAGTTTCCATTCCGCTGTGTGAATTTTGGTTTTAAAATGCTCGATTCATCAAAGACGACGAAGAAGATATCTACTTTGGAGAAAGAAGTGACGAGGTGGAAGGACAAATATGAAGCCGCGATAGTACTAGTTGATAATTCTCGGAAAGACAAGGAGAAGCTTCTGACGCAATTAGAAGCTTCGAAATTTGCGTGCGAGCGACTGAAAGGATTGTGCAGAGCCGTAACAGATGAACGGCAAAAGCTTCGAACAATGGCAAAGCCGACAGCTTCACTGAATGACGAAGGTGAGTTCGAGTCTTCAGTATTTGAAGCGTAATTATTGAAACATAATGTTTTTGGATGAAAGTGTGCTAGGAATTAAATCTTCGAAGCAATTTTTTTATATGAAAGAAAAGTCCGGAGAGGGATATTCTTGATTAGTTGGTGAATTTCTTCCAAAAGGGCTTGCATTTTGGATGGATGAACTATTCTTAATTTTTGCCATGTAAAAGAAGGGATTTGGCAAGACAATAATTTTCACTTGTTTGACGACTTTTTTTTTTTATCGGGAGCGAAGAAATACTCTTATTTCTTGAATAAATTCCCCTCATCGCTTATTTTCTTTCGATGGGGGAAAAGGTGAACTTCGCGAATTTCTTCACTAGCAATATTTCCCATGCTGAAAGTATACTATCGAAACGTGAAAAATCTTGCGAGCTAATGATCTACACGAAGAGATCCCCCGTGAATCTGATTATTTTTTTAGTGCTGTTATGAAAGGGTTCACTCCTTGATGCTGTATCATAATTTTACCTTACTACTATGTTACTTCAAAGAAACTTCTCGAAGGAGAGAGATTTCTGATGCTTTCCCACAGTTTTCCTGTCTGTTCTCTGAATGAGTCTAAAGTTATTTTTCATGTTAGGTATTCATTTCGAACGTATCCCTACTGATGGGACTATGTTGATTGGTTCAGGGTATATTGTTCCATATAAATGGGCTTTCATGTCGCTTGAAGATGGATTTATGCGAAAATCTAAGACATTATTGTTCTGAGATGCATTTAAAATGCTTCGTCCGGTTGGGAAGAAGGGCTTTTTATGTAATCTCATATGCACTACCTTCGAGGTAATCCAAATTGAATGTGTGAACTGTGGATTAATTACAAGAAAATTCAGGCGACATGAACGATTTTCGCGTAGTTTGACGCACTAGGTGTGATTTTGAAAAACATTCATTTTTATAATATTCATTTTTACCCCTTGTTCATGTGGGTTTTAAGAAGAATTTTGATTTTTTCTCTCTTCTCTGATGACGATGCGATGTTCAGTCATCTTGGACGAATGGGACAGTTACATAGAGACCACGTTGCAGCGCATGAAGGACTGCAAACGTGTCATGTCGGTTGCTGCGTGTCCCAATTGCAGCCCTGCATCTGCAGTCGCACAAGCGCCGCCTTCCGCGGAAAACAATGCTTCCTGTGCCAAGGCTAGTCCTGCCTCCGAAGGATAAAGTCCTACTAAAATGAGCCTCGTTTGAGAAGTGTGTCCGTCCTTCGGGGGGCTAACCTGTTTTTGCGTTCACCCTGTTTCGATTTCGCGTGGTCACGCCATTGTGATGTATGTGGAAGGTTGATGCTGCCTTTTTACCCGTGTTTTTTGTCCTTGTTGGACTGCGGTGTTCGAACTCATTTGCCATGTAATTGTGGCTTTATAAACATTGTCTTTACTAGTGAAGGTTGATTTGAGTGACGTTTCGGGGGGTGTAGTAAATTTCCAGTGCGCTCTTTTTCGTGAACTGCATCTCAAATATTTTTCTCTTATATCTGATCCGAATGATCAAATTAAATTTCTACTGTATTTGGGATTACGAGGTTACTTGTGAAAAACCTCGCAGCTGTTGATAATTTTTTCCCTGCGTTCCAATGTATTCAGAGCAAGATCGAGCAAAATATTCTCACGTAAGATTTTTATTTTTCTGCATAAATCAGTAATATGCTTGGGAATTTCGGGGATTTCCTCTCTTGACGAAGTGAAATCCAATTCCGAGATTACGTCGCGATTTCCTTACTGTACTTTAATTTATGTACAGAATTTGCGAACGAGTACAGTGTTTCTTTCAATTTTCGAGCGCTGCTGATTTTGAGATGAGTTACACAGATCGGAATTTTAAATTGGCCAACTCTCTTGAAACGCGATTTCAAAAGATCTATAGCAATTTTTACGTTTGAAGATGTCATGCACTTACTCATTTACTATGCCTCCTTATTTAGAGTACAGTATTTGATTTTGTAGAGGAATTTACGTGTTCTTTGGACATTTGTTGAACGTGTTTTCTTCCAGCATGAAGACATTCGACAACATTGATGCAGTGGTGCTCGACATTGAAGGCACTACGACGTCCATATCGTTCGTCAAGGTTAGTTCATCAAATTTGTTGGTTTGATGAAGTTCCGTTTCAATGATTGTTGATGTGACATTGTCAATAACGTTTAGAAACTTGAATTGAATTTAGTCGTTTATCTGAAGTTCAATCTTCTCTCGTACAATGAAATGATTCTTTTTAGGATGGGTGGTAAACATTTGAGGGATCTATCTTTCTGTTGGACATCTTGTGTTTTAATCCACCACAAATTTCAAGGCATCTCATTATTTTTCGCCCCAGTTTTGGAAAGCATCAAAATATTTTCTTTTCTATTTTGCGCCATTTTTGAACACCCTATAATGCATTTAATATCCTGTCATTTTGATTGCAGGAGATCTGTGCCGAATCAGTTGAGATCTCTGTCGTATTTTGGTTTTCCAGGATGTCTTGTTCCCCTACGCAGTTGACCACGTTGAAGAATTTCTCGTTAAAAACTGGAACGATGAAAACGTTCAGCGGCTGGTGAAAAATTTAGTCGACGAAGCAAAGAAAGACGATTACAACATGCAGGTCGAAGAGACAGTTGTAAGCATCGTCAACTTCATTAAGCTTCTCGTGGAAATGGACAAAAAAGTGACGAGCTTGAAAGAACTTCAAGGCTTAATATGGAAGAGCGGTTACGACGATCGTTCACTTCTCGGCCAGTACGCTACAGAAAGCCGAGTACTATTCAAAATAAATGATATATTTTTTTTTGTCATGTTCCAGCGTTTTTGGCGATGTGGAGAGAAATTTGCGGCAATGGCGGGAAAATGGTAAAAGGATCTACATCTATTCGTCTGGAAGTGTGAATGCGCAGAAGCTTCTATTTGGGCATTCTGTCAGTGGTGATCTTACGAGCTTGATTGACGGTTATTTTGATACGAATATTGGTCAGAAACGAGTTTCAGAAAGCTATGAGAAAATATGTGAATCTGTTGAAACAAGGCCGGAAAAATTACTGTTTTTGACGGACATACCGGAAGAAGCTATTGCTGCGAAAGAAAGCGGTTATTTTGTTGGAATCTTGTCGAGACCTGGGAATGCTGAGGTTTCTACTCATTTTCCCGTATTCAAGTCTTTCGATGAAATCGTTTTGTGATGGTAATTTTGACTGAGGAAAGCGCTTCGAGTTGTGGTTATACAGCAGATGAAGTTTTTTTCTTTCGATATACTATGAGGGTTGGTTCATAAGTCCTGTCAGCCTTTTGCATCCTTTTTTGGAGTATTTATGGATACATGGAGACAAGCAATTATAATCCTATGATTGAATTTACTGATCGTTTTTCCAAATACACTTACACAAATTGTGAAGTCGAAGCAGATGTAAGTGCAACCTATATCTGGAAAGTTGGATTTTACATACTTGAAGGAAATGATGCATTTAGTAAAGATGAATTATTTTCTGGGAGTGCTGCCAAACGTCACAAATATTTGGAAAATCTAGGTAAATATTGTCTCAATTTTGATAACCTTGTTTTTATCTCGATCATGTCAATTTTTGTAGTATTCATAATGAATCTGTAAAAAAGGAGCTGAAGTACTTCTGAACCATCCTTGGGTGTGTACAGTGTATTTGGTTGTGTGTCGTGAAATTAATGAAATTTATCTTGACCATTTGAATTTCTTCACAATTTCAGAAAACTGGAGTGATGGGAAGAGTATGATGTTCTCTCTGTGTCTGGAAATGGGAAATTCGCGAACGAAGTGGTGAATTTTTTTTTTTTTTTTTTTGGGTGATCGTGTATCTTTGTTGTGGTTCCTTCTCCAGAGGACTCCGGGATTTCGTCGGTATCTTGCAGGTCAGTCTTTTTACTTCTCTTTCCTAGAAACTCAACTCGGATGTTAAATTTTTGCAGATATGATCAGTATGATTTTATCTTCACTGGGGAATTATTACCCTCAGTATCCGAAATGTATTCGATTGAAAGACAAGAATATTCGCAATGATTTTTTGGGAAAGAGTATGCAAATCATCCGTTACTTCGTTTCACTCGCTATTTTCGAAGTTCGCTCGACTTCATGAAGCATTTTGAGCTCTGCTCCGAACGCGTTAAAAAAAAAACTCACACAAAATGGACTAACGTGGAAATTCTTTTGGCTCGAAATCAATTTTTGAAGTATTATTGACGCATAATTCTTGTTCAGATTGTTGAAAATTTCTAGAATATTTTCGTCCTGCTAAAAACTCTAGTTTGCCTGAAGCCTGGGGAACGAAGAAAGCTATTTGTGCGAATGATTCGAATGAGAGAAAAAACCCTTAGTACCATAGGTGCAGTATTCGCAATAGGATGGCAATTGTTTGCGGTGTTGGAATTGATGAGAGGAAATTGCCGAAATGAAACCAAATCTTACGAAATTCGTTTCAGTGGATGCAGAAGTTCTGTGAAAACTTGTTCTTTTCATCCACTGATAAGCTAGATTTGAATACCGCTCGGCGGATCATGAGTTTTTACGTGATAACAATTTCTTCTAGGAAGGAAATTATGGGCGAAAAACGCATTTAGCTTTTACATGAGCAGACTTCATGTTCCGGAACCCCTTATTTTGTTGACCATCAGGAATAATATACAATACTGTACAGTACATTCTTTGAGATTAAGACCTGACGAGAAAAAGGTACGGGGAAAATACTAAAAGGGAGACAATTTTAATCTTTTTAACCAGATTTGAAAGGTTAATGTGATCGCAATGTAAATTCTCAATTACGGTATTGTATGTGTCACTTTGTCTGAATGCATCGTGAATTATGATCAGATTTCTCAAACATCGGCCACATTTGAATTTTTAGGCGTGAAAAACGGTGGCCTATGTCCGATTAAGTAGAGCAAGTGGATTGTTTTCATCCACTTCAATACGAGGGGTTAATGTCAGAAATGGTACTTTTTCATATTTTGGATTTGTACCTTTCGGTCGGTTACAGCTTGTAGTTGAATGAATATAGTGAATAAAATTTAATTATCGGTACTTATTCTTTTTTTTACACTAACACAAACGTTTGTGGGAAACTTATGGTCGGTCCTAATCCACCCTATACATTTACGGAACACTTTCAAATTATAGTCAAACCTTTTCACGTCGAACTTCAAGGGACCAGCAAGATATGCGAGTTAGGGAAACAAGCATTTTTGTTTGTTTAAAACAATTCGAATTTGTGATATTCTGGGCTTTGAATTGCCTCGTTAATGAGTTGACAGGATGCTGACGTTGAAGGCAGAGGTTCATTTTCCCAATTATTATCTCTCTTTCCTGTGTCAATAAAATAATAGCCGAAAGACCTGAAAAAAAAGTAATTATGGAGGTTTTAGGGGGAAGCGTTTGAATTTGGGAGGTTTTGTTCCCGAGAGAATTCAGACGAGGATTTTGAAAAAAATTTTACATTGGGAGATTTTTGGACTTATGGAGGCTTGAGTTATTAGAGTTCAACTGTATTTCTTTCACCAAAGCCGAACATTTTCTTGGGCCTTGGAATTTGTAAACCGGCGTAAATTCAGCAAAAAAATCAATTTTTATAATAATCGTTTGCGTAGAGAAGTGATGGTTGTGGCTTGCTTTTCTATAACTTGAATAAAAGCTATTTCGGAGGGGCGAAGGATAATCCGTGAGCCGAGCGCCGCCTGAAGCCATGGGCAACAAAAGCAAGCACCACAATCACCGGCGCTCGATCCTCAACGCCCGTAACTACGATGATTTATCAAAAGAGGATCTGAGAGAAATTCTGAAACATAGAGGCTTGCAGACGACAGGCAAGAAGGAAGTGCTTGTGAGTCCGACCTGCCTCCGTTCGAGCAGCACGTGTTGATGCGTAGATTAGACAATTATCTATTTCTTTCCGACTCCCCCGTCCACCCTGAGTTCAGTTTGTGCCGGCGTGTTCTGTCCTTATCTTGGTGCTCTTCATACCGAAGTTGGTAGTGACAATGTGGCGCACGAAATCCGATTTTGTGGTGATCTCGGTTCCCGATCTTGCACCTGAGGTAGTTTCGCATGCGAGTTTGGTGTTTTTTTTTCTGTTGGTCGCGTTAGATCATCATTATTTTTTTGTCGATGATGGATGCCGTGTGACTGATGCTTGTGTGTTCCCCCCCCCCCTTCTGGCGCAGGTAAAGCGACTGCAGAAATCGGATCGAGATTTGCAACAGAAGCAGACGGAAGGAATCCCTGCTTCACTAATGCCTCAGCGTGTGGATGGTCAAGACGGTTCTTTGAAATCCGGTAGGTTGGAGTCGTGGAATTCGCTGGGAGATTGGCGCGTTACTAGACGAGCAAAAACGCGAATATTTTGACGAGTCAGAGGTGTAAATGTGCAATTTGTGTCGAAGGAAGGTTGGAGAGGGAAGTTGATTACGAGGGTTGGTTTATAAGTTTTGAAACTTTTTCAAATGCATCCAACGAAGATTCAACGATTCCAAGAAAATGTTCGCTCCTCAATAGCCCCATCATTTGGCAACACTTTGGTGCTATTCAACATACTCTCCGCCGATTTCAATGCATTTTTTTCATGCGATGAATCAAACGATCAAAACACTGCTGAAAATTGAGTTCCGTTAGTTCATTCGTCTGCTCTTCGATTTATTGAATTGAACGCATGGAAAAAATGCAACGAAATCGGCGGAGAGTACTGTATGTTGAACAGCACCGAAGTGTTGCCAACTGATGGGGCCATGAGATTACAACTTTTTTGGGATTGTTGGATCTATTCCAAAAAGTCTCAAAACTTATGAACCAACCCTCGTATTAGTGGGAATCTCGGGACAGCTATCATCTCCTGTCGAAATGAAAGAGCTGGAAAAGTTTTGGCGAATTCAGGAAATACAGTAAATTCCTATTCCTTCAGATTTGATCATAATTTTAAAATTAATGGCCAAAATATTCGCAAAAGTTAGAGGTGCGAATGGTTAATTTTGGTTGAAGTAAAGTTGGAGAGGGAGTGAGGAGAGGGAAGTTGAACATTTGTAGGAATCTCTGGACAGCGATTAGCATTTGTCGAAATGGAAGAGCAGGATAAGTTTTGGCTTCTCCAGGAAATGAGTTTCTGTTTCTCGTCTGTCTTTCAGAGTAATGGCGAGGGTTTTTTCCTGAAATTGTCGAGCAATTTTTCAAATCCTGTCGCATGTGCTGAACACTTGTTGGGATTATTTCAATTTTTTCCCCCTTCCTCCGCTTTTTCCCGACCTTGACACCAATTTCATAGTTATGTAATGATTATACTGTAGTACACTTCTCCCCGAAAAATACAAGTTTTTATGGGTCTGGTAGCGTGTGAACTATTGTACTCGGTACTGTATTTCAGACTCGTGTCGGCAAACGGAATTCCGAGGTTTTTCATCCGGATCCGCGAGCCACGCATTTTCTTTCCTCCGGGAAATCGACGGTGAATTTATTGAAGAAATTCTTGCGTCTGAATTTTCTAAAAGTCGGACTTTCACTAAATTCCTGGAGTTGTCCTTTGAACTTACCTTAGAGTCGTATTCGTTATGATGCAACAGAAATACGATTTCAAGCTTCAAATATGGTATGGATTTCCTATTCGACGGAATGACGCGAGAACTAAAAATTAAACGTGTTATTTGATCATTTTTGTGAACTTGTTCGTGATGTGAAAGCAGATGCGATCATTTACCGTCCTACAAATGCAAATTCAAGGGGTTTTTCCCCTGAAAATACTCCACAGTACAGGAATGGTTCTGATGAAAAGAAATCTTCTCCTTATGCCTTGGTGTGTGTTGCAATTTTATCGCTGCAATTCCACGCATTTTGGAGTAACATTTGAAAATTTGTTTTCTTGGGGAATCAGGACTTTTTCGTTCATTTTGATCGAACGAAACTTCTTGATTTTTTGCTTGCCTGTTCCGTTTGGGGAAGGAAAATGAATTTGCCATTGTGCAGCTTTTCGAGACTTTAAAAATACTCTCACTGCATTCAAGCTTTTGTGAATTTTCTTGACGGGTAGGAAGGTTAATTCTTCTGATGATCTCATTCTGATCATTCTGCCTTTGTCTGTTTCACAGTGAACGGCATGTCTGGAGCTGTGCCAAATGGGTATTCACGGTGTTCATCAGCGGATCTCAGGAAGGAAAGGGCGGGTATTGTGCTCTGGAAGCGACCGTTGACAACTCTGCAATATTTCAGTCTTGAGCTGAGCTATCAATTGGGAAATTTGGCGTACAAGCTGAACCAACACAGGGCCAAAGTCACTTTACTGATGCTGTTCCTTGCGTTGTCCGTAATTGGATATTATGCCGAAGGGCCCCACCAGAAAGTGAGTAATTTCTTTCCTCTTGAGCTGCGACGTGATAAACTCGTATTTCGTGACGTGATTGAAGATGAATAGTGCGTCGTCACTTGAGCCATTAGATTTTTGGATGTTCGCGAGATTATTATGCCCTGTTTGAAGAGACCAAGATATCCAACGGAATCTTTTAAAACAAAACGTCTTATGGCGTGCTCTGAATAATTTTGAGATTGGAATTTTTTCTTGCTTTGAACGAGAGCTTACTTGATTCTGACGATATGTGTTATTGTTCATTGCGAATTTCATCACGTTTCCTGTCAAAAAAGGTACATTTACGGTAGAATCAAAATTTTAAGCAATGTAATTCGGAAAATCCGGATTACAAGATCGACGTGATGATTTTTTCGTCTAAATCCGAAGTGGATGGCATGTTTTACTAAATTTTGTAAATTTGTTTTGTTGAAAATTTGAAGAAAAATAGATTCCATGATTTTGTCTACAACGGTTTCATCTGTACAACAATTTTTTATATTGTGGTTTCGTAGGGTTCTTTATCCATGTTATTGGACATGTAGGGGTTCTATACGACGAAATTCTCTCTGCGACGATTTTTTTTCTAGTCCCTTGAATTTCGTTGTGGAGGGAGTCCACCGCAGTTTCTGCTATGACTTCGATATAAGCGCATCGTAAAGGAAGATTCTTTACTTTTATGGCTCTTGTGATGGGATTTTGCATTTACAGTGTGTTGAAGTCCGTTTTTCTTTCTTCGCTTATTTACAGCTTGTGGTTCCAGCCGAGAAAATCCTACTGTGGTGCCTTTATTGGGTTGGCCTTGGTGTTCTGTCGTCGATAGGTCTCGGAACAGGGCTGCACACGTTTCTACTGTACCTGGGCCCTCATGTGGCAGCTGTAACACTTGCGGCGTACGAATGTAACAGCTTAAATTTTCCCGAGCCACCTTATCCTGACGAGTGAGTTTTATATTTATTTGATGACCTTATATTTCTTCCTTTTTCTGAGGGTCCAAGAGTTGTATTCAATGTATTAGAATCTGGCGGAACTGAGTTGAATACAGTATTTGAAGTTTACAGGAATGTTTTGTTGTATTGTGCCAGCGAGTCTCATGTGCGAACAATGACTGGAAAAAAATCGCTTACCTCGTGACTATGTTAGCATCTCGTTCGGAAAACCGTGCCAAGCTCTCCGAATTGTTTCTTTCCGGGTTTTTCAAATTTTTTTTTGCGGTACAGTAAGCTGTATGACGTTTTTCGAATCACCTTCTTTTCCTGGTTGCAGTGTACAGTACAGTAGTTTAAATGCGCGAGCAACTGAAGAGTTGAATATTTTTTCCGTTGTATGCTGTGGTCGAACTTTTTTTTTTAATACCGAACTGATCATTGATTTATTTCTTTTTAACGATTCAGCATACCACGAAGAACCCCGCACCTTCTCGTTTATGAAGTTTTTCTACTTCGTTGTTCAGTATTTAGATACGCTTAATTTATCTTCTAAGTCGTGAGCATGATTTCAAAATTGTTTTTTGAAAGTCGTCATTATCCAAGAAATGCCCGTGTGGATTATTCTTGCAGTGTATAAGGAATAAATATAGAACCTGCGCTTCTAGTGTCGTCTAATTCCTACAACTGCTTTTGTAACCACCATACTCTCATAATTACGATTTATGCGAACTATGCTAGGAGAATAGCTAATTTTAGTTTTCATTCTAAATTTTGTAACTTCATCTCGCAACAGTTCAGAGATTTGTAGGCTAGTCTACGATGTTTTGTCTATCTCAAAAATCGCGAGAGACGTTCATCTATTTTTTTCAGGTACATGAAGTATGTTCCGTTTTTCTAAAATGTACGCGAATTCTTTTTTGCAGATTATTATGTCCGGATGGCAGCAGTAGAAAAACGGGTTGGTCAAACGTTCCGATAAATATATGGACGATCATGAGTAAAGTTAGACTCGAGGCATTCATGTGGGGTGCAGGTGAGAATTAACTGCATGCTGATTTAAGTATTGATTGTAATTTGCGTTAAAATTGTTCTGAAATTCAGGTACTGCCTTGGGTGAATTACCTCCGTACTTCATGGCGAGAGCTGCCCGTTTATCCGGAACTCATCCGGATGACGACGAGTTCAAAGAATTCGAGGAATTGCAAGAGCTTCAGCGTCACCCTGAAAATTTGGTATGCCTCAATTAAAAAATAAATCTTTTTTTTCTTGATAACCCACGATTTGAAGCGTTACCAGTGTTGCGCACGTACATGATCATAATTTTGTGTATACACTCGCATCACTATTATCATATTTGTTGTAGTTTGATTCGATGTCGTTACTCGGACTTCCGTTTGGTTCGCTAATGTTTGAAATATGCTCTGATAAGTCACTTTGATACTGTCTCTCCGTCTCTCTCTCCTCTGTCCATGGCGATTGCATGCGATGAACTCAAATTTGGTTCTGGGGAACACAGACTGGTGTTCATAATCTCTCCGTGAGTTCTCATCTTCTTTGTGGACGTAGGCGGGTTATTTTCTTCTTTGTCACTTCCGCAGGAACATTCTGAAAAGCATCCATGTTTGTCAGAGTCCAAAAACAATGGGCGCTCCATTTCCTTGTCGGTGGGCTAGAACTTCACATTGTTTTGTGTTTTATGCATGTAACTTCTATAGGAAACCTTGATTTAGGTTGTTTCCTTCAAGATGACGATTTTGATTGAATCAATTCGATTTAGCGGAATTTTGCTTAAAAATCTCGAAGTTACTTTCCCTTGAGAATTATTTGTTAATTGCGTCGTGGTATGTTGGTACTGTATACCGTTTATTGTTTAATTCAATGCATGATAATCTTGTCTGAAACAATTTTTTAGTTGTATATTGACTTTCTTTTATGTCCCATAGGGTTATCTCTCCGTAATATAGGGGTTCTCCATAACGAAATTCTCTCTTCATTGTGCAGTATTCTTTTCTGATCCCTTGAATTTCTGTCTATTGTAATGAAAGCCTTTCATGCGGGGATTTGTGACTTGTTACCATTCTATCTCAGAGATTTTTCCTTCTTACGTACGCCATGAATGAACTCTTTTAAATTGTTAATCACTTATCAGTTGCTTTTGTATTGTGTGTGGTAGCATTTTTCAAGGTTGGATTGTATCTGCATGGGTTTGCTTGAAGAGAAAGAGTCTGGAAAGAAATGGTTTATCGAAGAAACAGGCACGAAAAGAGCGAATGTGAAAATGTCACATGAGTTCTCTGCGAGTGCTTCAAAGGGCGATCGCCTAAAATAGCAATTACACGAAAAATCTGGTTGATTTCGTGAAACATCTATTTTGTGAACTCGTTTCATCCTGCATGATTTCTGTATTTGCGATTTCGTTACTTTTTCTTGGGAATGGTCTTCAGAGGCAAAATTTGGCTCTTCTAGTACAGCGCGTGTTTTTTCGTGGTACAGTATAACCAGTCTTCATTGATTTTATCAAGATTATTGTTTGGTGTGTTTGCCGTGGGATTAGTTTGGTTTTCTGCGTACGCAGCATTATCGACTATTTTTCTCTCATTTTCTAGTCGATGGTGGACCGTTTGAAGCTTTCAATTGAAAAACTTGTGGAGAAAGTCGGTTTCTTCGGAATCCTGGTCTGTGCTTCGGTAAGTCGAGTTTGTTCATGTTCACTTCTCTCCAAATCAGTATTTCAGTGTCGATCTCGCTCATTATTCACTCGCGTAATCGACATTGGAACAACAATCTTCGTTTCTGTGCAGATCCCCAATCCTCTGTTCGATCTCGCGGGGATCACATGTGGGCACTTCCTAGTACCATTCTGGACGTTCTTCGGTGCTACACTGATCGGGAAAGCCGTGATTAAGATGCACATTCAAAAGTTGTTCGTGATTATCGCGTTTAATGAAAACCACGTAGAAAGTGCTGTAGCGATGCTCCAGTACGTGCCGATTGTTGGCAAGAAGGTACAAGAGCCTTTCAAGGAGTTTCTGCAAAAACAAAAACTAAAGTTGCATCGATCATCCAGCGCCAAAACTGGACCGGTGAGACATCATGCTTTCATTGATATGGTTCAGTGTTTTTTGTTAGTAAATATTTTAAGCCTTGATGTAATTTTCGAAATATTCTCATAAATTCTGGGGATGGATGTTGGTCCAAAATGACGGTAGTACGTAAACCTCAGCAGCAGTTTGATGACGATGTGATTTATTCCGTGAGAAGTCTGCTGTTCGTTTACAAGCGATTTTAAATAAAGTTTTGAATAACCATCGATTTTATATATTTTATGGGACCGGTGAGACATCATGCTTTCATTTCTAATATTCAGTGTGGGTTGTTAGTAAAACTGTTGAGCCTTGATGTACTTTTTAAAATATTCTCAAATTATGGGGATGGATGTTGGTCCAAAATTACGGTAGTACATAAACCTTGGCAGCGGTTTGATAACGATGTGATTTATTCTGTAAAAAGTCTGCTGTTATTTTACAAGCGAGTTTAAATATATTTTCGAATAACCATCGATTTTATAGGATTTCAGTACATTTGAGATGAATTGGCAGTCATCCCTAGTTTCATTTGTTCCCGCATCGTGGGTTCATCGTGTGTGTGCATTCTAATTAATACAATACCATAGTAATACATCTTTCGTTAGATTGGAAGTATGTTTCTGCTGAAGCGGACGTGCAGCTGTTGAAAACTAATGATATCATTTCCCGGAAATTCGATAAACTCTTTTTTAGGTGCCAGAAAGTTGGCTGCAATGGTTCTTTGAAAAGCTGGTGGTTGCAATGGTGGCGTATTTCTTGCTGTCGATCGTCAACGCTTGGGCGCAAAACTATCATAAAAGACTGACGGCGGAGAAGCGGCCGCTTTCCAAGGCAGAGAAGCAGAAGTGACGTGTTTCTGGGGCTCCCTGGGTCAACTACAAGTCCCTCTATCACATCGTCTGACAGCTTTTTCACTGCTCAAGCACTCGAGTCAATCGCCCATTCCACTCTTGAGGGGCTCCTGAAAAGTTGCTTAAATCGAGTACTTTAGTCCAGGAATACGAAGACGATTCCCGCTCCTAATTTGCTGCATATTGACTCCCTTTTAAGTGTCTTTGGGAACGACTCCCCGAAAATCGTCCGTCGCGGTTTTTCCCGAAATTGAGCTGCGAACGCTAAATTTTGATTTCCGATCTGCTTTATGACGCCTACCTCCTTTTTCATGTTTTTCTACGTAGAAGAGAATATCCGGAACCAAGTGTTCGGAAGAAAACAAAAAATTTCACACATCAGAATAATATTCTGGTTTATTGGATAAACCAGAATAATTACTCATGCATTATTCAATTTTTGTTCATCGTTGCTGCCTGGTTCCGGATGGGAAAAAAATCTCGTATCCTGTGACTAAAAGTACTGATTTTGCAGCTTGTGGAAGCCCTCGTATTTGTAGTCCTGGTATATGTCTCTCTAGCTAAGGAAAATACGAGTTTGGTGATGAAGATACTTTCTTTTTCGGCGGAATCAGGGATGTCCCCGTGGACCTGTGAGGTTGTTGATCGTTGAGCTGGGGAAAGGTGTTCCGTGTAGAGCATGTTAACTTGGCCGGTGTTGCGTGGATTCCTGGATAGTTTATTCGATCAACGAGGCTGGATATTATTTCTCACTGACGGAGTGGCCTGAATTTATTTATTTTTGCGACCGTTTCATTGATTGAGTAGTTTTTTTTATTCGTTTGAGGCCCGAATTTCATTTTTTTATTCGATTGGGTGCGGGTTGAGTTAGTAATGTATCTTCGTCAGGATTTGAATTTCTTCGAGCGACAAAGTTTAAGAAAAGTGGGAGGATTTTATGAAATTATATCTTGCATCAACGACCGTAGTTTTCCGTTGAAAAATTTTTCCCCGTTCAGGAAAGTCATATAATTTTGTGATTCACTTTTTTTGCGATGGGTTTTCTGGTCATGGATGGAATAAGATTTAAATTATTGAGCGCGTTCTTCCAAGGGAATTATTTTTGGTTTTCTTGGTTCACAAACGTTGAATAATCACAAAATTAAGCGCATGGAGAATATTAGTTTTTTTTTCGTAAAAATAGTTTTGCTGAGATGATTTGGAATTGCAAACCGTTCAAGAGGTACAAAAGTATGCAGGAAATGGAAAGTGCGGGAGAACGCCTATTAAATGTTGAATGTCTTGTTCGATGGGACGATAAGAAATGTCGGTTCTTGTTCATGCATCAGATGGCGGGAAATTTTCAAAAATAATAATTCAGTTTTTAACTGTAGAGTTGGCTTATCCTTACGTCTGCTACGGCGCTGTGAGCTTGATTTGCGCCGTTTTTGGTTTCTCCGCTGTTCGAGCTGTGATGTTCGGAGATTATTCAGCGAAGCTTGAATTTATTTATTGCGTGGCTTTTTTTTTTTTTTTGTGTGAACGAGAGTCAATTTTCGTTGCACAGGATTTGGTCGGAAAGATTTTATGGTTTTGTGGACGAGATCAATTTGTGCGAACAGTAGGTCAAGGGTTCCCACCTTGGATAGGGAAGACGTCGTGGAGTATTCTGTGAAGTTCATCCGTGTATGCGATATTGTCAGCGTGAGTAAAACGTTTTAAGGGGAGCGTTACGCATTCGTGATCCTTGGAGACCGCGTGTTCTTTGATTCCCAGTGTGTTTGACGCAATCTTTACTTTTCAACCACTGTTTTTGCAATTTTTCGCTAATTTTGGGTTAATTTATTGCAGATGCTCCGTGGAGGGGCTGAGGTAGGATGAATTTTTCTTGTGTGTCTTCGGCGTTGATGAAGTACCTCGTATATTCGTGATGCATATTTCGTCGTGTGATTCCGAAGAGACGTCGGCAGAAGCGATTGACAGAAATGGAGATCTCGAATCTGGTTCGAGGGCCGTCCAAAGGTGAATATTGTACCCGGCTTTTTTGAACTTGGCAATTTTTTCTGGTTATTGTTTCTGGGTCAAGGTGCTCGGGCAAGAAGTCTTCATTGTTTTTGGGATTCGCTTAATTGGTATTCATGCAAAAAGGGACGTAATTTTTGCATTAGCGTAACTAATTTTACTTAAACCAAATGAATTCCAACAAAGAAGGCGACAGCTAATTACAAAAAAAGTTTGATGCATTGGGCATGAAAGTGGAAAGAGCAAAAAATTAGGCAAACATTTTCTCTAGGATTCACTTCATTCTCGTCGTGAAACTTTCAGAAATCTTCTAACCGGCGAAGTCGCATTCTAGTTCGCTTGTCCTCAGTCCCTAGCTCATGATTAATTTTCATGATGAATGAGAAATTATTTTATGAATATTTTTCATTGGTTTTCTGGAGACTGAAATATTGAGACAACCCTTGCTGAACAAAAGATAAGCTCGACAACTGAATGCAAAAGAATTGGCGACCAAGATTTTGAATCAAATTTTCGCAAAACTATCCATTGCTGGGAGCACTGAACGAAAAATTAAGCTGAAACTCAGGATTTCCCGATGGTCTTTTCGTCTTTGACAAAATATCTCGTGCTATTGTAAAAAAAGCTGTTGTCGCGATTTATAATTTTTAATACGGTGGCTTGCTTTGTTTTCTTGAATTTCCGATCGGTGTCACTTGAATTTGACCGAGAATGACCTTGCCAAATTTTTTTTCTGCATTTTATGCTGTGTAACCCATTCGAGTTTGGTAAAATGCGTGCAAAAAAAAAGTCCTCGGAGTCTCGACCATCAAATTTTGATGGAATTGACATTTTTCTCTATAAAATTGAAAACAATTCCTGACTAAATCTTGTTTTCTGATCCTGGCACGTGCAGGTCATGGAATTCATCGTGGGTCGACGGGCTCGTGTCCTGCCTCCAGCCCCTGTGGAACAAGTCCTGGAAATACCAAACGAAATCCTGCTCTTTGGTTTCGGACTGGGAAATACCCTTTTCCGAACTCCGCGACATGCAGTACTTGGCATCCGGTGCCCAAGGCGCGGTTTTCACTGCGCGCTACAAGCGAGAAATCGTCGCTGTTAAAAAGGTCTTGGACGCGTCCGACCTTCGCGAAGTCTACTTCATGCGAAAACTCCAACATCCCAACATTGTCCGCTTTTTCGGCGTGTGTTCGTCCCCGGGCACGCCGAGCTGCATCATCATGGAACTCTGCCAGGGGAACTCGCTGATGGACTACCTGAAGAAGCACCGCGAAATCGGCATCGCGCCAAATCTCGTTGTGACCTGGGCCAAAGAAATTGCCGAAGGCATGCACTACCTTCACTCGCACAAGATTGTCCATCGGGACTTGAAAAGCCCGAACGTGCTTATTGCTCGCGACGGAGCTGTCAAGATCTCGGACTTCGGCACGAGTCGCAAGTGGGCCACAGAAAGCGGCGAGTGGAAGATGAAAAGCGTTGAAATGACGTTTGCGGGGACGATCCCTTGGATGTCCCCCGAAATGGTGCGATCGGAAAAGTGTTCCGAGAAGGTGGACGTTTGGTCTTATGGTGTGGTGCTGTGGGAATTACTCACCTGCGAAATTCCGTACAAGGACGTCGAGAGGTCTTCTGTCATCTACGGCATCGGGATGGAAAAGCTGAAGCTCCCGGTCCCTTCCACGTGTCCCGATGGGTTCCAGTTGCTTTTGACGCAATGCTGGGCACTGAAACCGATAAATCGACCATCTTTTCGTCACATATTGGTTCACTTGGACATTGCTGCGGTTGAAATACTTTCTTTGCCGATGAGCGAGTTTCACAGGACGCAGGAGGATTGGCGAGTGGAGATCGGCGCGAATTTGGCAGAGACGGAAGCGGAATTGCGCAAGTATAAATCGGAGTTGTCGGACGGGGAGGATTGCAGCGACGACAGCTCGTTGCTCGTGGAGTGCTCGTGTACGGAGAGTGTGAAGAAGCTGCACAGTACCTTGGCCTCGGTGAATGACGCTCAGCGAGATGTGGAATTGATGAGATTGGAGGTTGAAAGGCAAGTCCGGGAAATTCAGGTGACGAGATTGATGCTTGAGGTGGGGAAGAAGGAGCGGGATCGATTCTCGCGACGGTTGTCCGTATGAGGGGGTCTTTCGTTTGCTTTTTTTTTTCTTCTATTCATGCCGTATTTTCAAGATTTTCCGCGCGTGGAAACTCTGAGTGTAACTCTTCATTATCTCTTGCGTCAAGTCTGAATGCTCCGCTCTGGAGTATTGGGCAAAATTCGCATTCCGTGGTCGATGAAATTAAGAAATCTCCGTGGGATTTCCTTTCTTTTGTTTTTTTCAAGATTTTGGATGCAGCGACGTATTTCTTGGAGGCAGCTAAGGTTCAACATTTCCGTGAAGTGAAACGGTGTGTATGAAAAAAATTAAATTAACTTGGAATTTCTTGTGGATTCATCTTATGCTTTGTTTTTGAATACGAATGTTGTTCTATTTCCACGTAGGTTTACATCTTGTGACAGTCTTTTTAAGAGTAAGACCGGATCACTTGGTACAGTAAATTTTCAAGTACAGTACTTGTTTTTATGAGGGGTTTTCTCTTCATATTGTATTCTCTGTTCCTTTCAAGATTTTCGGTACAGCGACGTATTTCTTGGAGTCAGCTTAGGTTCAACATTTCCGTGCAGTGAACCGGTGTATGAAAACGGTTAAATTAACCTGGAATTTATTGTGGATTTATCTTTTGCCTTGTTTTCGAATACAAATGTTGTTCTATTTACGGATAGTTTTACATCTCCTGGCAGTTTTTTTTTCTTCTTTTTTTCAAGAATAAGACTCGGTCACTTCGGAACATAGATTTCTAAGCACTTGTCTGAATCTTTTCTCTGAAATTTCTTTGCGCTTTCCCGTACAGTGACTTTTTTCTGTTTTCGGTCGAGGACCGTCGAACAGACGAAGAACCTCTCTGGAAACATTTTTGGGTGTAACCCAATGTTTTGTGTTGATTCCCGAATTCAACGGGGAAACAATTCTGGATGATGATCTCAACGTTCTCCAGTGTGTATCCCATATCAGCATCGGTTGCCACATTCATTGCCAATAATTATTTTAATTTGTCCCGGTCAATATTTGAGCAGACTTCCCGAAGTCAAGCTTGATCTCGAGGAGTTTTCTACTTCTGCAAATTTTTTTCCTGGGAAACTGATGTTTCAAACTTTTCGGTGTGACTTATGGTAACCCAATGTATGATTTTTTTGCTATATTCGATGGGAGCAAATCTCTTTAATTTCGATGGCAATACGCTTTGAATTTTTCCGAACGCTATTATTTAGCAAAGGAAAAAAACACTTTCTCGGGTAAATTTGTTGCTTTGCGATTCTCAGAATAATATTACCATGTACATTTATATTTTCTGGAAACTTTGAACTTTACTGGGAACTCAAGAGTTTAGGAATGGGTTTATTTTGGGAAGAAACGAAAGAGCATTAGTCAAAACCGTTAGAAAATTTATTAAACTACTCTGGATGATACTTGGACAAGTCTAAACATTATATAAATCGAGTATTTTACTCTACTAAAGAAATGTTCCCTTCTCAAAGAAAATATGCACTGGTGAATATTTATTTGAGAAAAAATGAAGAAAAACGATTTGAATGTTAAACTGCTTTGTTATTACTAGATTACTGTGTAGCTCTTTTTGCATTGGGATGCACTTTGATTTCCGGTGATCTGATTGTTGTGTAAATGACAACTGCTGAAATACTGGAACGGAGAAAATAATTATGGGATTTACCGTCGAGGAAATGGAACAACTCTCGTAATTATGCGTTACTTCTGAAGTTTTCGATCTTCGTGTTGAATTTCAAAGCAGTTTGCTTTCTAAAAAAAACTTTACAATAAGGTTCGATTTGAAATTGCGTGTAATTTTCTGATAGCTTTTCTCTTTTCATCATTATACGTGTGCACAACGAAATATCGTGAATCGTCGCTGAATCAATTTGCGAATCTGATGAATTTAGGGCTTATCGATCATCAATGAATTTAATTCGCGTCTGATTTTCTTCTTATAGATAGGCAGTGCTTCCTAAACTTGTTGAATATTTGATGGAAAATTGTTCTTCATGCGCTCTTCCAAAATTCCTACATTTTTTTCATTTTCATCGCTGAAATGTTTTAGGTGCGGTGATCTGTTCGAATTCTTCTTTTCCTTCGCGCACGGTTTTAAAAGTATCCCATCTTTTCAGTATTGTGTTGTTGCTGTTGTAAGTACATTAGTTTGCTCATGGTAGAGAAACGTGTTTTGGCTGTTGAATTCGTTTGCTCAATTGTTACAAACGCGCGGATGTTCTCTAGTGAGACCGGATACGGAAGCGCCCAGCAATCGCTTGGAAATGATTTTTAGCTTTTACGAAACCGTCCGAAATGCTTGGTTGATGTGCAAACGCTGGCTGAAAAAGAGATGCTGATTTTGTTTTTCGTTGTATGTGTGAGGAATCCAAGAATCGCAAGCTGTTTTTTTTTTATCAGGGTGAACTGCAAGTTTTGTTCCGTGCGAAATTTTTATTTTGTGTACTGGTGTGAATTACGCCGTCCGATTTATTTTGTGCTGTGCGTGTTTTGTCGATCGTGTTGTAATTTTTTTGTGGATGATCAGTGCCTGTTTTGAATTTTCTGCTATATTTTCTCCCCTTGGCAAATTTGAGGTCTCCACCTCTACAGGTGTTTCCCATGGCCTTTTTCGGTTTTTGGAAGTGATGACTGAATTTGATGCTCTTTTGTTGGTCTGAAAGCATATCATGGACTGGGAAAATATTGCGTAAAAAATTTTGCTCTCCGTGTTTTTATTATTTTAAAGACGGGGAATTGTCTTTTGCCGCCCGAAAAGAATTCGTGCAACAGCGACATCTGTGAGGGAAAAACCAATGGCTTTCTTGCCTTTTCGTTCCTTTTTTACAGTACTTGTACAGAATCTAACAGATCCTAACGCAACGACTAACCAACTCAGCACTTGGTACTTGAGCACCAAAGATGGCGAAAAGCTAGTGATTCTTTCCTCTGTTCAATTTTTGCGAAGGCACGAGTTCCTAAGAGCATATTAGCTGAGGTTCGTAAGAGTTGATTCAATTTTTTCAGTATAATCGATGGAAGTGTTTTCCTACAGACCATTTAAGTGATTTTGACGAGAGGATGTTTCAGGATGTGGTCTGAAAGTTCCTGGACTCCGAAAGTATCAGAATTGAGGAACAGAAAATGGTGAGTGACGAAATTTAATATCTCTGCGTATTCCCGATTGTAATTCGTGTTTCATTTATAGTGAAATGTGTGTCTTTGACGCAACTGTGGATGTAAGCGTCGAAAACTGGAGGGCCATGATTCAACATTACTTGAAGGATTTCCTGCTTATCTTATGATTGTGCTGGAAGCATTGATGTCACCGAACTAAGAGTCTGATTTCAATGAGCCCAACATTGGCTTTTGGGATGCCTCTGGACCCGAATGCCAAGTGAGATGGATTGTTTTTCTATATTCATGCATTTTTTCATTCTTTTAGTTTGGGAAATGAAACAAAACTTGGTTTTCCATTGTTGAAGTTGGTCCAACAATCCGTTCTACATGTACGATGGCAACCCTGAGCTCCTTTTGAGTTGCTGGCGGTATAAGCATAACCGAATTTCACACTGGGCATGACTGAATAACATTGCTAATTTGATGCACTGTAGATGGAAAACTTGCTCTAGTTAGGTTAGGTGTATTTTTTAATCACTGTGTTTGACTATCAAATCTTGAACCGTGCCGATCATTGGTGTTGAACATTTTTGAAACCCGTCTTGCAATTTCTGTGTGTTCGGTGGGTGCAACAAAAAAGAATGAAAAAGCCTGATCTAGCCTAATTGAATTAAAAAAAAAAAAAAAACAGTGCAGTTTAGTATAAATGCGTATGGACAGCTATGGAAAATGTTTACAGTACTGTACTGTATTTTGCTTGACCATATGTTTATGAGCTGTGGTCTACACTTATTAAATTATCCTCTTAAAGGTTTACGATGCAAGGGCAATAGCCTGTGAGCCATAAAGTTAAAAGTGTCAGACAACATGTTTTATTTTTTAATGGAACACTGGTTACAGTACTGCCTGAAGTTTGAATCCAATAGGTTACAAAATTGGTTTTTTTTGCGAAAATAATGTTCATGTGCAAACAGGGATTTCTACGCGAGTTGAGACTTGACCTTTTTGAATCAAGTGAATTATGAAACAATCGCTTTGTGAAGAAAAGAAGAGGTTTTCTACAATGCTATTCTTTGCCCTTTGGTTAGGCTAGGCAAACGGTCTCGCGGTTTTATTCAGTTTTTTTTTTTGTATTCTCAATGATTTTTGCGCATTATCATGTACTGTATACCTATCACTGCGTCTCAGAATTTTGTGCACCAAACTTGTTTAGATGTTCTCACTGAGTAAAGACTGAAAGATTTCGGTCATTTGGATGATATTTTAGTTGAAGATGACAAGTCTGAGAAAATCTTCAAATTGATTTCTTGCCTTCGAGCATTTATTTTACCACGTTTTTACCACGTTTTTATGAACTCACTTTTCTTGTCTGTCTGTCTGTCTGTTTGTCCGGATCAAATCTTGAAACTCAAATTTCACTCACTTCCAGACTAGCTAGCAAGCTGAAACTTTGAGGATAGCTTAGAAACTGATGACAATCCAATCTTTTGTGAAAAAATTAATTTTAAGAATATTTTTTAAAAAGAATAAAATAATTTTAGTAGATTTCTATAATAAAACTTTGAGCAGGTTTTCCTTGGCCCCAAGAAAAAAACCCATGGTGAACTGAATTGGTCGCAGAGGTCCGAGTTCAATCCCACCCCCTGGAACATTTTTTTTTTAATTAATTAACACGTTTTTATTATTAACTCACTTTCTTGTCTGTTTGTTTGTCCGAATCAAATTTTGAAACTCAAATTTCACTCACTTCCCGACTAGCTATCAAGCTGAAACTTTCAGGATAGCCTAGAAACTGATGACAATGCAATCTTTTGTGAAAAAATTAATTTTAAGAATATTTTTAAAAAAGAATAAAATAATTATAGTAGATTAAAAAATTAATCTAAAAAACCACGTTTTCAAAAACCAAAAAATAACCTTAAACGTGGTGCGCATGGAGATTGTTGGGAATAAGTGAAATACAAATGAAATGAATGCGCACCACATTTAAGGTTATTTTTTGGTTTTTGAAAACGTGGTTTTTTAGATTAATTTTTTAATCTACTATAATTTGTACTTACAGTCGAATAAGAACTGTAAGAACCTTGTGTTTGCTCCACCTCCAAGAAGGACAACGTACTTCGGTTACAAATGTTCTTTTGAAAAAGTTGTGGAATTTTAGTGCAATGAGATGCAGGTATCAAGTGAATCTTAATGTTTGTTAGTCACATTAATTAATTAATCTGGTTAAGTTTATTTAAAGTCTTCAAAAATTGAGAAATAGGAGCCGACCCAGAAGGAGTCCTTTCAATACTTCGTTTACTGATCCTAAGAAATTTGTTGGGGGAAAAAACTCAGTAATGACTTGAGATCGATGCAATCATGTGTGGGTCCTAATTACTGCGGATGATGAGTGACGTATTTTGGGATTTCACTTCACCACTGTACCGATGCAGTGCTTAAAAACATAATAATGAAGAAAACAAATGACAGTTTTCAAGCTTTGTCCCTTTTATATCACACAATCATCGGTTCATCGTCAGAATAACGTAACCCGCGACCTCATCGTTGATACAGTATTTGCATGCCATTTTTTAAAATTATGTAAACATCACCCACTTTCAATGTTCGCGTGAATGTATTATTCTCAAAAATCATACTCAGTTCATCGTGAAACGCTCAGAAATAATTTCGGTTGATGGTGAAACGCTACGAAATTATTTCGACGTATTGTTCTTTCTCGACCATATACACATGGGTGATGGATTAGGGAAATTTCAGGAAATCGAATCCGTTTGATTCCATGATATAACAAATAAAAACGCGTTGCTGTATTATCTTGCCTCGATGATTTTGAAGCGTGGCCCGTCTCCAATGGAATAGGAACAAGTCAGTATTTCTCACGAAAAACTGGAGTACAGTTGTTGCAAGAAAGCAGTCGCTGCATGTTATTTTGAGATCTACCTTCTGTAGCATGAAAATGAGTAACATACATACCTGGGGGATCTGTGTTTGGACTGCTGAGGGATGTCTGGTTCCCGTGTGTCAGTCCCATTTTTTTTTTCAAACTCCTTGCAAGGGGGTATTTGCTTTTTAATTAGTTGAGGGCAATTTACGTGATGAAGGAATCGTATTTTTGTTTGTTCGCTGCTTTCATTGTTCGAAGTGTAATCTAATCAAATGTAATGGTGGAGACAGCAAGTAATTCATCACCAAACGCGGTGAACCTTTCCTGTGGATCGGTATTTTTATTTTTTTTAAAGCATTACACTGCTTTGAGACTTCGCGGAAAATATAAAAAACCCTAATAATTTTCAATTACAGTATTCATGTAGACGACATAAGGTGCGAAATAAAAATAAAATGAAGTTGAAAAATATCGAGGTCTAACGTAAAGTTGGACTAAAAACTTTAAAAAAAATGAAACTAGTACAGTACTGTACTGTATAACAGATGTGCTAGAGATTAGAAACCGAATTTCTTTCCAATTTTTTTTTTTCTGAGTTGATTGCATTTTGGAGTCGAAGTTTTGGATTATTATTTACTTTCACCTCCAAATTTTTAGTTCTGCTCTGCGTTCTGTAAAATACGCAAGGCTTTGAATTCGCGTCCTGTATTCTGCATTTTTTCATGAAGGAAAAATACAAAATACGGGACTGCGCGAGGAAACTCTTCTAAATAGAGCAAATCCAATCGCAATATTTTCTTCAATAAATACTGTGTATATACATTTGGCGAAGTTGAATAACAATCGCTAATTAAAAGTATTAGACTTTTAATTTTCCACGCGCTATTTCCGTATCACTCCACGTACATTCATCTTAAGTTTTTGCAGCTTTCTAGGAAATGTATACTGCTAATTAGTTACAGACATATTTCTCAAAATTTTACCGCCATGAGTATTAATTACAATATTTCGGAGTGAACCTGGTCTGAATGATTCAGTTCAAATCCTCATGCCCGAAATTACAGTATCACGCATACCTGAGTAAGTTAAGTTTTCTCATTATTCCAGAAATATAAATATGTTTTAAAAATACATCAACAAAGCTGTCTTTTAGTAAAAGTGAAAAAATAAGCACACGATTCTAGAACCTCCTTTTCTCCAATGCCTTTCATGATGGCGAGTCAAATCGATTTTCCGTGAGGATTTTCCTTCGAAAATCACTTTGCGTAATGCCTCAAAGAACAAAAGTTTGGATCTTGCTCGATTGTAAGATGAGCGGGATATTCGCTTCCCCTCGGGACACAAGTTTGAAAAATTTTCAAAATCGTAAAATCTGAAGAATTAACAATGTTTCGGCTGGAATTTTGCATTTGACCTCAGATGCCGGAAAGCTTGGAGTGAGGAAGTTCTCAACTTGATTCGCTCCTGTGTCCATTTTTTGTTGTTGGAAATTTGATATTTTGTGTACCGAAAACGGGAAAGTTTGCCTAGAAAAAAATAACAGTGGAGTTTCTTGCTACCGATAGTTGACATCGGGAAGGGGTTCAGGTTTATGCGCGGAGAGTGTTTTGGAAATCGAGGCTTGAAAGCTTTTTTTTTTCAATTGGAGGCACGAAGACAACAAAAAGAAACGGTTATATAAATTGTCTATCTTTTGGTTAAGTTAGTCAGGTTAGGTTAGATTCAGTTACAGTACATGTATTACATTTATTGTTGGGTGCACCATTTGTACACGTGTGGGTCGTTTTTTTTTTTTTTGAAAGCAGAGCTCTTGGAGTAAACCTCAAATCTCCCTCTTCTTGAATCGACGTATCATAATTCAATTGACGAGTTTCACTTGCTCATCCGGTAGAACTTGTATTTACCGATTGTCTTGACCTCTTCGCAGGCGTCTATCCAGTCTGGGTGCGCGTCTTTCCATGGCACGTGGTAGTGCACCACGCCACCAGTGGGATCCTTGCATTTCTCTGCCTTGAAGACACCCGGTAGCCAACCATCCAGTCTGTCGGATGCCGTCCTGTCACGAATGGTTGTGTCGCGACCCGACAGCCAGCACTCGAACTGTTTGGGGTGTCGACAAACTGATGCCAGGGATGAGCCACCCCATTCGGGTTTGTCACTGAATGCCCGGTTCTTGATGGTCCATGCCACGAACTTCTGGCCGTCTAATGGTTCCCCGCGAGCCTCGTGGTACACGGTTTTCTTGAAGATCTCGTAGTCCTTGCCCAGCGTGGCTTCCATTATTATTAATTTTTTGTTGTCCTGAGAATTGACAAAGATTCAGCAGATTAAACCTTTGATTTAGTGACATTCTTGCGCAGTGCCACGGATATCCCTGGAACATACAGTATTTTCATCTATTGTGTTCTTAAGGGAAACCCTGATTTAGTGCCATGAAAAATCTTTGTCTTGAAAAATTGATTTTACACGCCATCTCAAATAACATTGATGGAAAAAGAGGTTTAAAATTGTCTGCTCATATTTTTCTATGGTATCCCTTTTTTTTTTGTCCTGTGAATTGACAAAGATTCAGCAGTTAATCTTTGATTTAGTGCCATTCTTGCACAGTGCCACAGATATCCCTGGAACAGATTTTCATCTATTGTGTTCTTAAGGGAAACCCTGATTTAGTGCCGACTCACTCAGTGCCATGAAAAATCCTTGTCTTGAAAATTTGATTTGACACGCCATCTCAAACAGCTTTGGTGGTAAAAGAGATTTAAAAATTGTGTGCTTATTTTTTCTGTGGCATCCCATTATTTTTGTCATCCTATAATCAGACAAATATTTAGCATTCAACTTTTGATTTAGAGCCATTCTTGCATAATGCCACAAATTTCCCTGGAACAGATCTTCCTCCATTGTGTTTTTGAGGGGAACCCTGATTTAGTGCCAGCTCACTCAGTGCAATGAAAAATCCTTGTCATGGATGAAAAATGGGCCAAAATGATAGAAGTACTGTAATTCCATGTTTCTGTGCATATCATTGGGTTGTAACTGAGAATCACATCCCTGTGCTCACATAGAACTTGAGGAATAATTTTGGAAATTTTACACTTGAATTTGTAGTGTTGAAAAATATATTTGTTCTTGTGTGACAAGAACAAGAACAATTCCAAAACTTGAAGCTTTTGTTTGATGGAGTGTATTTCCTCAGAATTTCTGTCACTCAGTTTGAACAGAAAATAATTCCAGAAGATCATTTCTTCGAAGTATTACGCTTCCTTGAAGTCATCTGCTGCAGTTCATAATTTTGTGTGTTTCTTTAATTAGAAAATGTTTACCAACTGTACTAAGTCTCGTCTTATTTTTGTACTAAATTTATAGGAATATTTCTTTCTTTTAGGAAACATGTCTCGGTGATCACTGGCATCTTGAGATGAGAAGCTTCACTCACCTGTTGCAAAGAAAGCAGCAAACCCTTTTCTTCCTGAAAAAATAGGCGGATGAGGTCACGCAGGACACTGCAAAAAGAACTTGGGTCATACAAGGACTGTTCTAGCGTGGGTGACACAAAATTGTGCCCTTCTTTCAGGGCAACGGGCTGGAAGGGTATGCCAGTGAAGCAAGAACTTCGGAGCTCTGGTTCTTCAAGACTTGATTTTTGACAGGGTTGCAGGATCTAAGCTGATGTAGGAGGGAGGTTGCACTCTCCCAGGCAAAACATACTCCAGAATGTCACTTGTCTAAACAGAAGATCTTGCGAAATAAATTCCACTAGGTAGAGTACACTGTCGCAGGAAATGTCTGACATCGAGGAATAATGTTTCCTCTTATATCAGCTTAAATAAAAAATGTTGACAAAAAATCCCTAAGCTTTAAAATCTTTGGAAATACTGTACATGCAGCTTCACCTTGTTGACGTAAATAGCATTCTCAGCACTTCCTTGAAATCCGGAAACCGTATTTGATTGAAGAAATAGGATGATGACTTGGGCTCATTTGATTTTTATATCTCTTCAAACAGAAGGATTTGAATACAATCCTCAAAAGCACTTTACTTTGTCAGACATAAAACGCTTGTACTGTATATTTTTTGAAATTAAGCCTGTGAACCATTTTGGATGTAAATGCAATGTGCTGGGGTAAAGTACGGTACAGTACTGTACATCTTCCTGGGAGTGCCTTTTACTGTCTACACCGGCGAGGCTGGGGTAGGGAATGTCACATTTTTTCTCCCTCCCCAATGCTTGAGATTTGCGCCTGGCTGCATTCCTGCACAGGGAAAAAGCTATTTTTGCCTGGTAGTGATAGAATCGTGGGGGAGACAAGGTGTAAGATATTTTTGGCCTCCTGGGAGAGGGATGGGTGAAGGTCAAAATTTCCTTCCTGCTTTCTGGGTCATTTCAAGTGTACTGTAATCTCAATTCAAGTAGATTAGGAATGTTATTCGTTTCCTTTTTTAAAGGTAAACAATATTATATTTTTTCCGAACCGAAAAGGGGAAGATTTCTTCAGGCATTGCCACCTTAATAGCAAAAATTGCATGCGCGGAAATGGAACAACCCAACAAAAAAGATTTGGAAAAATTGTGATCACCTCATCTTCCAAAATTTTATATTTTTGTTTACTTTTTTGAAAGTGATTGTTGGAATCCATGTTCTTATTTGTTCAAAAGCAAATTCCGGACTCCGGAAATATTGCTTGGTGCTTGATTTTCATTTTTTTAAGGCTGAAATTTGTTTTAGGGGACCCATGAAATGCTCGTGCACGAACAAGATTTGTGACCTGTAGAGAAAAATGATTAAGTTCCTCGTTTTCCCCACGACTGATTACTTGAAAAATAACTTACCCAAACTTAACTTTACAACCAATACTTGGATTAGCGGAGTGTCATTTGATGCTATTTCTTGTGAATGAGTCCCCTGAATCAAGTTAGCCAGTTTGAGATTGGATAATGGGCAATTTTATGAATGAAAATGCGATATTTACAGACGATTTGAGTGATTTTGTTGAGAGGATATCTCAATATGTGGCCTGCGCCTCAGCAGTTCTGGGGAGCCCAGGCGTACCAGAATTATGCGTCAGAAAATGGTGAGTGGCGGAATTTAATTTCTTCTTGATGTTCCAAGCTTGTTCTTGGATAATCCTGTTGAACCTCTTCAAGTCGAACTTCAAAGGGCCAGCAAAAAAGGAATTGAGTCAGTGGAACAGCTATTTTTTGCTGTAAATAATTAAGAATTGCCGGAAACGAAAATACAGTACGTGATGTTTGTTTTTCCTTCAGCTGCAAAATATATGAGTTGACTTTATGCTGAACTTGGAAGCAAGGGTTTATTATCCCAATTACCGGATTCTCTTCCTTTCAAAACACATCGTTACATTTTTATTGCTTTTTTTCCTTGAATTTATCAATGATATGCTGGTTGAAAGGCCTCCAGAAAATTCAAGGTATGGAGGCTTGAGGAGGAAATCCTTTGAGTGTTCAATTGTATATTTTCGTTAATGGGCTATTTATAGTGGATTGGGCGTCTCTGGCGCAACAATGGATCCAGATGAAGGAAGCGTCGGAGGTTGGAACAGCGGGTCCACCGCCAATGCAACCACCTTTACCTGCTGGTCCACCACCTCCCCCTCCGGGCGTGATCGAAGCACCATTGCCACCGAACGAACAGACGGTGATGGGTCCCATGATTCCATTGAACCCGCCTTTGCCTGTCGGGGTGCCTCCGGCCGTGATGAGGATGAGTGCCCCAATGCCCAGTAAGATAGTTCGCGTTGTAAATGTATACTGTATAAGGAATAATCTCGTTACAACGATGCGTTTGGGACCTTGAAAAAAACGTCGTTATAAACAAAAATTCGTTAAAAACAAATGAAAATAATATTGTGGCCATTCGACAGGGACCGAAAAACCAATTTATTTGGAAATGCACGTGGACTACAACGGTCTCGTCTACAACGGTTTTCTCTGTTTAATGGATTTTCGTTTGGTCCTATAGGATTCTCTCCCATGTTCTAGGGATTCTCTGCAGCGAAATTATTTTTACAACGAAATTTTTTTAGGTCCAATGCATTTTCTTGTAGAGAGAGTCCACTGTAATAATTTGCTATAAGAAGATTCGTTGTAACAATTTAGGATATGGTTTCTTACGAGGGTTCTAGTTTTTTCAAATGAACTTCAAACTTCAACAAACATTACTTGATGTTAAAATCTGGGAAACTTGAAACATTCGGTATTGGGCGATTGCCAGATTTTCTTTCACAAATTCCGCTCTAATCGGTAAAGGTAATTTATTATTGTTGGCTACAGATTCTGTATTATTTTTGGCGAAAGGCATGTAAAACTTCTTTTTCATAGCCCAACAGATACTGTCAGGTTTCAAAATTCAACACAGTTCAGTATTTCATCAATCCTGAAGATCCCGTGTCGACCAACCATCGGTACAAGTTGTCACCTGCGCTGCTATTGATTCCCTTGATATTTTCTTGATAATAATTGGGCCAACTACTAGAGGATGCTCTTTGAAATACTGTACATCAAATCTGAAGCCACATAAACGACGTTATTATCGTTAAATTTTTTGTTACAGTATACAGTAATTATTTCAAGCGTCTGAATCCGTCCAGCAAATCAAGATGCAGAATTGTCGAGGACTGTGTCTGCTTGTTTTTTCCCCTTCACTGAAAAATATTATGCATGCACAATCTTTATTCTGCAGAGTTCGATCAATTTATGGAAATTACTGCACAGTACATCAAATCTGCCTTGAATGATAACTGGTTATACTTACGGCGCGAACAAATTTTGTGAATGAAAAAGAAACCCAAGTGGAAATGAAACGTTAAATTTATCTGGAGTTGCTTTTCCAGTAGAGAACCGTTCGTTTTACAGGTGAACTCTTTCCGCAAAGAAATTCAAGGGGACAAGAAGAAAAAATCGTTAGAGAAAATCTTGTTTCGAGAGTGTCTACCTGTATACGTTTCTGTTCAAAGGTCCTGAAATTTCAAGAAGAAATACGACGCGTTACTTATTTCATTTTCCTGTGTATATTGTTCACTTGTTTATGCATGAAATATTTAGCCCAGCCGTGGATGAATTCAACTGCTCCGATGCCTCCGATGACGCAACCGACGCCGCAGTGGCCGGAAAAAGTCAAGAAAACCTTACTTCCATCCCCAGTTGCACCCATGATAAATAACTTCCAGGTCCCAGCAAACCCCACGATGCCTGTCGTGTATGGGACCGGAATTCCAGAGGTTAGTCTGCAGTGCATTTTCTTATTGGCGATCCGAGTAAAACCCACTTTTGATGCATCCACTCTCATTGGAAGACTTTCGAGTTTGTCCGTATTCGGATGACAAGGTTGACGAAAACGTGCATTGAAACTTTAAAATAATGTACCAGAACATATAGAGGTAGACTCTCTCTACTACGATTTTCCGTGTATAACGATCTTTTCTTGGCCCAAGGGGCTCTCAATCCATCTTATGGGCGCTCTTTATGATGGAATTCTCCTCACAACGAATTTTTCTGTTCCCTTACAATCACAATTGCAGGGATAGTACTTTTATAGTACAGTTGTAGTAAGTGTGTGAGGAATTGCATTTTCTGATGTGAAGGGTATGAAGAATCACGACCATGACTGTGATAATTCGTATTTCCTTGTACGGCGGGGAATTATCTTCATGATGAGATTGAGAAATTCTGACGCGTTGGCGATTGAATTCCCGTGGTGTTCGGCGTGACGTCTAGTATCTGGATGAGTTTTTCAAGAGTCACAGCCTATTCGTTCCACTTCATTTAAGATATGTGCTGGCCCTCCACGACGGGATGGTTTCATTGGGCATCCCAGAATGCCAGTGAAACCTATGGGAGATTTCTCCTCGGGAATGGGGACTGTTCCAATGATGCCGGATGGAGATTTTACCATGGGTGAGTATCCAGTAAAGCCATCAATTGTTCCAATACTATTTTCGAGGGCTTATTAGAAATGAAGTTTTTCATACAAAGCCTGAGAGCCAGAAAAGCATTTCGTCTGAAACCTAGTTCTAATGCCGTGGTTTTTGTTTTTGCGCCTAGATGCCGCCCGACGCCGTTCGCTCCCCGCGTGGATTCGGGAGGGATTGGAGAAGATGGAGCGAGAAAAATCCAAGCGGGAGGAGAGGGAGGAACTGCTGAAGCGTCGGGACGAATTGTTCAAAATGCGTCACCAGGATGAGCGGACGCAGGAATTAATCGACAACCCTGCTCGGAGTAAATTCGTGAGTTGAACTCGATTTCCAGGACGTGGGATCGAAAATTTGTTGTGATGAGCTGATGTATGTAATCGCCGGAGCTCAAAATGGCTGTTCGTGCCAACACTTCTCTGTAACTGCCTGGTGTAGGTTCTGTGATGGGTGGGATCAAAAGTTCAGGCATTGAGTTTGTGTGCAAGTTGAAATTTTGTGTCGGAGAAAACCAGCTACGCATGAGGGCTCTTTTTAAACTAGGGGTAGATCGAGGTGAAAGTGAATACTGCACAATGAGTCCCCGCGTAGCGTAAGATCTGAGCAACAGAAATATTTGTAACGCATCAAAAACGCATGTTCCCCAACTCGAAATTTTACTAACTTGAATGTTTTGCTGGTCCCTTGAAGTTCCCTTGAGAGGTTCCACTGTACACCATATTGAACTTCCAAAATGATGCTGCGTGTCATATAGGACCTGTTACAGGTGAACTTGCTCTCTAACAAAATTCAACGGACCAGAAAAAGTACGTTGTAGAGAGAATCTGTTGTAAAGAAACAGGTAAATCATGCGAAGAGAACCCTATGGGACACAATAAAATTTTTTTTTACTGTATATGGAAAATCGTTGTAGAGTGAGTCCACCTATTGGGATGAGCTCCCAGGATTTGATAGCATTCAAAAATTGTCGGACCGTGACCATGAATTCCGCGCTTTGCTTTCTCCTGCTAACAGTGATTTTACCCCAATCGCTGTTCTCCGATTGTAGGACAGCGATTCTGAGGATGAAACCGAGGATAATGAGGATAACGGGGTTGAGGACAGTGGTAGTAGTGAGGAAGAATCTCGCCCTTCATTCACTACTTTGGCAGCGGTTATTGCACCCTCAAGCGTTAAAGCAATGCGGAAGAAAAAATCGCGCTTTACAAGCAAGAGTCCTTCTCCTGCGGAAACCCGAACATCAACATCCTACCCTGGCTTTGTCAAAGCGAAAACAGAGTTCCGGTCGGGAACCAAGTCGGTGAAACTGGATTTGAGTGAGCTAACTGACGAAGAGAGATTGCAGCTGCAGGTAATATAAGGGACACATGGGGGGCTTTTTGAGGTTGCGATGATATTGGGGAATGGCTTTCTCCCGTTTCATTGCAAGATGTATGTCGTGAAATCTTTAGTGACGGAAATTCTGTTGGATGTCACTGGCGCCATGATGTATGAGATCGCTTCAGAAGCTTTCGATTCCAGTCAGGAAGCAGGTAATTATGTTCCAGTCTGCCTTCGAAATCGGTTCACCCAATTTAGTTAGACCTCTTTAATCTTGAAAACATGTTTTGACGTTTGGCCACAGAACGAGGTGAACTTCAAGGTAGTCACAACGACGAATTGAAACCTCCTGTTACAAACCTTGGTAAGTGAATGATTGATGTCAGTCTCTCACTGGAAGGGACTTTGATCATGTGGGCTGTGTAAGCTTACAATTTGTTTCTTTAATTGACACATTTTTTCCTCAAAAGGCCTGGCTGCCTACGAATCCGGTACAGATGAGTCGGATGATGACGAAAACCATGCTTCTGCTGATGAGACGAAGTTGCGTGGGTTGCTTGGTTACGAATCTTCCGGAGATGACGGTGTTGATCCCGAAGTTGAAGTTCGTGAGAAAGAAACGAGTGCAAACGAGGTGGCTTCACCAGTTGTTCCGGAAGTGAAATCAGAAACTAGTGAGGAAGGTCAGTTGAGTTAAAAGCCAGTCCTGTACACCAAACTACTGTACAGTTTTTTTTTTTTTCATAGATACAGTATAGGTATTTTTAAAATCAAAATAAGCCACTCCCCGCCGTGTCGTTCTATTTACAGATATTGAAATGAAGCAAGGAAAACTCAGGCACTCGAGAAATAGAATTTACTGCGTAACAGTGTTGTTCATTTTTCATTACCTCGAGATTAAATGAGTTTTAATTTTTTTCCAGTTCATCCTCCCTACTCAAATTTTCTGTTAATCTCTGGCTAGTCCCCTGCCCTCAATCAATTTCAAACCTCTCGAATTTTGAAACTTCTAACTCTAGCCTGCCTTGAATTAGACAACTTCAATTATGCCGTAATAACTTGTTACAAAGAAGCGTTCGGAAACCTAGAAAAAAGCTTCGTTGTGAAAGAAAATTCGAGATTAGTTGTAATGAGATTTTAGTGTATTGAGCGTTGTGTTCCTCTGAATATTCCGCCATTCCTTGATCAGGAGAAAAACATGGGAGACTGCAGGTAATTGAAATGGGCAGTATTTGTTATTATGCGTCTAGAATTCAGAAGCCTTGAGCCCCAAGACCTTTGATCGCTGTGAACTGTATTTCTAGGGGTCTATAAAGGATTTTGTAATTCAATCAAGTGATGAATATCAAGAGTTATTTTGGGAGATGTCCTCGGATGGATAATGTCAATTGCCATTTGAAGGTTATTATTGCGTGAATCCTAGTAAATTTAATTCATTGTTTGGTGTCTTTTGAGAGTCCGGGACGAATTAGCCACTGCAGGAACGCCAACCTGATTTATTTACTTTTAATGCAAATGAATTCCTGCCGGAAAGGATCAAGTCCGTTAATCAATGCAATTTTGTTTGTTTGTTCGAAGGTGATTCTGGATCATCGTCGCCTACTGTGATAAAGTGGACAAATAATAAAGACGAGAAACGCGTCAAACAGAGTCACACGCGTGTGGAAAGACGCTCTCCAAGTCCCCGTTCGTCATCACGACGGGGCTCTTCCAAGTCTAGGAAACGGCGCCGTTCGCGCAATTCAACCAGTAGCCAGACTTCGGATTCCAAGTCTCCGTCTCCGCCGAGAAAAAGGCGGTCGTCTGATTCCAGACAGCGCAATTCCACGCGTCATCGACGAAGATCCAGGTCTCCTGAGCGGAGCAGTCGTCATCGTAGGAGCCATCATTCAAGCAGTCGTTCTCGACGGAAGGACTCGAGTCGGAGTCGACACCGCCGCAAGCATCATTGACACCTCTGACGTTTCTAAAACAAAGCAAAAATCTCGTCCCAGCGTAAATATGATCCCCTGAAATTTGCCTCAACGGGCAGACATTTTTTCACTTTCAGAGCGGAATATTTCGGCGGGTAAAGTTTCAAATACCAGCATTATCCGCCCAAATGGTAAGTCAGTCTTCATAATTCCTCTATCGCGAAATTCGTGATCCATTGACTTGACATTTTTGTAGACTTGCTGGTTTTTGATTCGGCATTCGTTTCGTTTTCAGGTATTCGTGCTGTGCTGTGTTCTGCCACTCCTCGGAGAGGGTTAAAACTTGCTATGGAATCTTTCTGTGGTTTACATTTCCAGCCATCTTCTTGTCAATGTTGAATTGACGATAGATCGATATGAACGGCTGTTTCACGAAACGTTCTTGCTATTTTTTTCATTGATTCTCATGTCATTATTGGCTTACAATCGTGAGCGTTTAGTTTCAATTGTTCGTTTTTATTTTCAGAAGTCGTGTGTGTATGTGTGTCTTCTATATAAAAAGTGTACGGCTTTAGGAGTTCCCTGAGGGATTTATTGTTGTGCTGCAGTCTTCAGATTTGCGTTGCAGGTGGAATGCGTTTTTGCGGGAACGTGAGCATTTGTTGAACCATTTTTTTCTAAGTTGTCCTCACTCTGTTTCTGGGCAATCATTTTATAAGCCACCTTGTCCTCATAAATTCTGCCCTTACTTATTAATATGGGGCGTCTTAACTTGGGTTGACTGCATCTTGGTGATCTGTAATTCTGCTTTGTTCCAAGATTGCTTCACTGGGCCCGTGAACCATGTCTTGTCTTCTTATTTATGAGACGGCCAGAAGAAGGGATCTATGTTTGATAATTGATTGGCTGAAGCATTGGTTGCTTTTTCCCTGGTAGACTGCTCAAATATACTGTATGCTGCCCAGTTGGAGTTTACTCCTGCAAGTATCTTTTGATATTCACATTTTTGA